CTTGGTTATATGCATCGACTTATGGATGTATGAACCAAAGAGTGCTACGGCCATGCGCAACCGTCAAGAAAATTATAAATTTTGATCAATAAGGGGATAAAATGAATGAATGAATGAATGAATGAATGAATGAATGAATGAATGAATGAATGAATGAATGAATGAATGAATGAATGAATGAATGAATGAATGAATGAATGAAGGAAGGAAGGAAGGAAGGAAGGAAGGAAGGAAGGAAGGAAGGAAGGAATGAATGAATGAACGCGAATCGAACGCGAAGGCGAATCGAACGCGAAATCCGAAACCGGATTTCAGCGCGGAGATCATACTGAGATATCTGTTTTTGGATTTTCATTTGTACCGTTCGACAGCGGTCTTGCACGCGCACGCATCATTAACAAAAAGAACACCACTGTTCACGAGAACAGTTTTGCAAATACTTTTTCGGATTTCGCAATCGAACGGAAAGGAAATCCAAGAAATCCGGCACGGAAATCCGACGCGTTTTCGGATTTCGTGTTCGATCGCAAAATCCGAAATCCGGATTTCAATACTGGATCTAAATCCGCATTTCCCAATCGAACGCAACCTTAGTCATCTAATCATAAACTGTGTGGCTCATTTGTGAGGACAGCTGTAGAAAACATGGATATCATTTAGACTCCCTCAGTGATGTTGTTAGCGACTAAGACGATCTTCGCGCAGACATAGTGATTACATCTTGCAGACAGACAGTTTTAATTGAGGTTGTTCCTGTAACTAACTCTTATTTTTAGCCTGGAGAAACAAAAAACTTTCAAACATGATCTCACGAGTCGTCGTATTTTAGGTGATTGTCGCTTTTAATTATGACTTGAATAATAGCTGAGGCGATTATTTCTTTTTTCGCACCTAAAGGGGGCGATGATTATTTCATATATTCACTCGACAGCTTATTAGAAGTCGTACCCTAAATATTTTGTTCTATTTTGTGCCATTGAATAAAAAAATAATCACATCAAATAAACTGAACATTCGCATGCACATTTAGTTCCTTAATTAATTTTCAATGTCAAGGTCCTCGGCGTCAGGGGGGGCGATTATTATTCGAGGGGGCGATTAATCGAGGGAAGGCTATTATTCGAGGAAATGTGGTATATAAATAGGTTTGGATAAATTCTTCCGGCAGAATTTCGAGCAGAATAAGCGATTTTGAGGCGGGCATTCTGCCGGCAAGAATAAGGCATTTTCGAGCAGAATTTGAGCAGAATAAGGGAAAATCAGCGGCACTAATGATATGCATAACAGTTGTAAGAAAAATTTAAAACTAAATAAAAAGCAAACAGAAAATACCTTGTGATTAATTTGATTATTTAATAGCTACAACGCATTAAAACATTAAATAAAAAGTAAGATGAATTAAAATTTTGCTACGCATAATGAATATCTAATTAGTTTTCAGGGGTTAGGCCCAGTCCTTTTTATATTTGCGAAAATAAAATTTTTCAGATACCGTGCAGAATTTTGAGCAGAATAAGCGATTTTCACGTCACTACCGTCAGGTAGAATAAGCCATGTTACGAGCAGAATTTATCCAGCCTATATATTATAAATCACCATTATTTACCTGGGTTTCTCTTTGAAAAGTTCGTCAGATCTTTTCTAGGCGAATGGCACAAGAAAAACCAACCACCAGTTTCCATGTTCTCAAAACACGTCTTCTAAACATTACAAAACCTTAATAATTGCTTATGTCTGAAATTATTTCGAAATTTTATAAATAGTGCTGAAGGCCAAGAAAACCTCCACAACACAACATTTAATACAAATTTATACAGAGGTTAATATTTACTAAAACTCCAATGGACTAAATTTCCACTTAATAACCTTCAACGTTGCAACGGTCAAAATTGGAGAAAATTGACCATCAACCGTCAAAGCTACCACCATACTGAGACGGCGGCCCTCATTCCCAACCCACGAATTAAAATAGGTTTCGTTGACCTTTGCAATAAGAAGAGTTCAATTCTTCTTCTTTTAAGCCTTAAAACTTGTAATGAATTTTCAAAAGACTCATGGCCGGAAGAGTAAACATTTTTGCAAAATTTAAGTGGTTGTTGACCATGAGTTTTATTCGGACCCGGCTTTGACCTGAGGTCTACGACATTACTTAACTGAGGAGTTCAAATTCACAGTGCGCCCAATAGGCTACTTGCACTAAGAGGACACGTGACCAATGCTTCCTTTAAACAATGAGTTGGAATCTTGCTGATGACAAAAATTGACAGAGCACATAAACATTATCTTACAGCCGAAATTTGAGAGGAAACGCATTTAAGGGAGATATTTTATGATTTTTCAACAAAGCAGTATGATTTGTGTTGGCCGCCATGTTGGAAGACATACTCTTGCCCTCCAATATGGCGGCCAAAACTACTTTTTGCTTATATCTTGTTAAACGTTTGATAGTTACGCTCAGATGTGCTGTAAACGTTACCACATCATTTTTTCAACATCCTCCTTGAAGTTTAAGTGCAAAGCTTGTGTTCAGAAAGAAGTAATTCATAATTTTAAAGATCACATTTTGGTCACGTGACTAGCGAGGAACTTACTCATTTTAAGAAAATGGTGCGGGTTTGAAAAACTAAATCACTATTATTCTGTTCAAGATATGACCCACTAATCGTTTTTCGAAGGCAAAATCATATATCTTTCATTTTCATGAAAACTATGTCACATGACCTCTTAGAGCAAATGACCTATTTCGTTTGAACAATTACAATAAGTAATGGTAACAGGATTGAGTGGAGTCCAATTCGGTCTGTAATCATACAAGTGATTAACAAAATCGGACGACCGCGTAGCGGGAGTCCGATTTGTTTAATCACGAGTATGATTACAGACCGAATTGGACGACACGAAGTTCTGTTACCAATTAATCATATCTTTAACAAAATTTGTGACATAAAAGGCTACTTTTTAAATCAAAACACAAGAAATTTGAAATTTTGTTTGGCTAGCAGTGAAAAAAAAGCCATTTAAGCGCGCGCGTGATGGCGCGTACTGTCCAGTTACTTAGGCATGACGCGTACTGTCCTATTAAACTGTCCAATTAAGGCTGAAATCGGGGCAGTTGATAGCCAATCAGATTTGACAATTTTGTTATAGTTATGATTATACAAGTAATAGGTAGTTAAAATCTCTCGTATAGTGCTATATTTCCTTCCATTTATTTTATCTTATTATTTATTATTATTATTACTTTAATTAATTCTCTATTTTCTTCTATCTCGGAGATATTAGCTTTAAGAGCTACACTGTAAATCAGAGTGTGTATGTATGCCACTGAATTTACTTTGATTCGAAACATAGACTGCTAGCAGTCTCTTATTTTTCTTTGCAAAGCTACTCCACAAGTAAACAACGCTCACCAGGATAAGAACTGGGTGGATTTTCAAAGAAAAGGCGAAATCCACTCGGTCTATTCGAAATAAAAACCGCTAGGCAATAGAATTCTGTAAGTCAAACGATAGAACGCGAGCCGGCTACTGGCGTCTTCTAACTCTGGTAGTAATAATTATGGTAACTGCTTTAAAAATCAAATTTGTAAAATGAAGAGAGAAATAAAGTTCAGTGAAGCTTTTCCGTACGAAATATCGGGAAACCTCAAGTCACTTTTGTCTTTGCTGTCTTGTTATCAATGTTTAAAGTTTTTCTTGTGTAAAACAGCAGGATTTGGATTGTTTTTTCACCGTGGCAACCTAATTTTCCGTTTGCTTTTTCATAATTTTTTTTTTTTCACATACATGACATGTGGAAACGACGGTATTTTAAAGAAACAGCTCTCTAGAGCACCACCGTGGCTTACGACGGAAAAACAGACAAACTAAGACGGTAAGGAAGCTGGAAGGACATGGATTAGTTTCCATGTCAGGAGCCCACAAGTTCACACGAGATGACTAATCATGAGGCGACTTATGGTAACCATAGCAGTTGATGGCTTCATAAAGCCTGGCGTAGCCGACATGAATATTTTCGATGCCCCAACCGCTAGTTACGTGTTATCTATCCGTTCACTGATCAAATTACATTCTGTAAAAAGTTTCTCACTGTGCTGCCTTCACTTACCATCCAACCACTGCACTGGAAGACAGAGTTCACCACACTCTTGATTGAACACTGTGTGAGCGCTCAATTCCTTTTGTACGGTTGGCATCAATAAAAATAAGATGATATTTGTTCACGAATACTAATTCTTGCAAATTAAAGTTGTTGGCCAGACAAACGTCATTCAAATAACCTTAGGTTATATTTCCTTTTTCAAGAAATTGGCGATGCATTGATTTGAAAGGGATCCTAGAGGCAATTTCTTTCTAGCAAACAATATGTGATTTATTCATAAATTATTTACTGCCGGGCAAGATTAAGGCTAGAGGATATGTTTTGCTGTTAATGACAGATGCACACAAATGTTTATATTTTACGGACCAATAATATTCCAGGGAATCTTTAATTTTGGTTCACCATTATAATAATTACATGGGTAACTTTGTTTAATTATGCGCACCGTTTCGAGGAAAATCCGTAAACGTCTTAACGTGGTTGGCAATATAAGCTTCAACGCCATATATCATTTATCTTTTTTTTTCAAATGATTCACGGGAAGTATAATTCATAATTAGCTGCGCGGGCGTGACATCAAAAGAAGAGCAGAAGATAAATATATTTTAAGCCTTAAACTGACCTATATATATCGTTCGAAGAATTATTTTTGATTTCATATGATCAAGTGGAGAATTGAATCGTTTCCTCTGCCAGTCAATGAAGTCTGTCCATCGGAAACGAGGAACGATTATAGTACTAAGACCGACAAACTATTGTTAAACGTCTGATTGCTCTACCGTCGAAGAACATTGAATCAGTGGTATGATAATCTGATGATCGGCAACGTATAATGATGGAATAAGTTGGACATCTCAGGAGAAATTCTACCATTTACTATTCTACGTCTTCGATATGAAATGGCAACTAAGTGGGAGAAAGTGAAGTATATACAGCGCGTGAGGCCAGATTCAGACGACGGATTAACAGATGAATGTTATGATGCCATTGACGACTCCAAAGTGAATATAACACTCAATGGAGAACAATCGGCCCTTACGTCCCAAGAGGGTATCAAACCGAAATTCTACCAAGAGAACCCACTGTTATCTCAATCTCAACCGATTCTGAAGCACAGATCGAACAGTTGCTTATACTTGTCAGTTCCACAAAACATTGGAAGACAAAAGACTCATGAAGAAGCCAGAGGAACTTCTTCCTTGAGAAAAACTTCCAGTACATTTTCTTTGGTTAATAACCATGAAATCGATGGAGATATTTCTACTCGATCACAGCCATCAAAAAATACTCCGCGAATACTCGTGAGGGATTTGTTTAATTCCAAACCCGAGTATAAATCGCACCGGTTAAAGGTAAGTTTAAACATCATTTACATAAACAAACTTGCTTTATGCCGCAAAATCGCGGTTTTCCACATTTCTGTGTTTTATAATATATGCAAATTTCCCAATTGTGATAAAAGTACGTGATATTGTATTAAATGAAGTTGATATTCCTGAGCTAGCAGTTGGAAAAAGATCGAGTTTCGTAAATATTGAGTAACAAATAAACATTGAGAAACAAATAAACGAGCCCGAAGGTTAATATGTATCTCCATATGCTACTGAAGTTGATAAAAAAAATATCATTCACTGCTCCCCACTGTATGAATTTTAATTGGTCACAGGCAAATTGCCAAGCGATACTGACTAATCTCGCACTACTTTCGTTGCGTCACTCTTTTATAGCTCTATTTGCAAGTAAAATAATGTCATTTTTGCAATATACAACGAGCCTCCCATCATTTCATATAAAAGAGCAAAATCGCTTGGAGATATCCTCGTTAGAGCAACTATAACGTCACGTATCACACTATCACGAGCTTATGAGTCATGTTTGGCCTGTCAACACCTTCCACAAATGGTCTTGATCAACGATCACTGAAGCGTGAACGAAAATTCAGAAGTCGTGCTGAAAATTTTCAAGGTCGAGTTTGAAATATGACTCGGCAAGTGTAATTTGATGAAGTGAGTTACGGCGAGCAAGGTCGTTTAATAAAAAGACGAGTGTAAAAAAAGACGAGTGTAAAAACGTTTTCCAATGATGCGAAATCTGAAGGGAGAGTGTACAATTTTATATTCGGCTATAAAATTCAAGTAGAAATTTAAATAATGAATTTAAAAATCAAACAATGAATTTTGCCGGGGATCGTACGCCATAAAATGGTAGCCTGAGTATCAGGCGCTTCTGGGGGAAAAGGGGAAAGATGGAAGCGAAAAAGGGATAGAGCTGAAGGAGAGAAACGCCTGACATAGATGCATTTACTGGAGCCTTCCACCCCCACACAGCATGATTCGATACCATCCAATCAAAATCACATGCTGTCATTGGGTTGTCAGCTTCACGTGTCAAAAAGCTCGCCTAAAATAAATCTCACCATACGGTCTGGCCGAGCTCCGGTGCTTGTGTTGCTACGATTTCGCTTTTTCTGAAACCTCCAATGAGGAGTTTTCGAATACTTGGAATGGAAAACCTGCCGTTTTTGAGGAATTATAACATGTTTTAGGAATTGTGCTAATGTAAGATCGCCAACGCTCTGTTTGTAAAAAAACGTGTGCCCGGAAAACTGTAAACTGCTTTTGTTTACAGAGTTACAACAGCGGCGCTCATTAATAAGCAGGTTCCTGAGAATCTGGCAGCTAAAAAGCTGCTGTAGATCAGGCCGAAAATCGTCCGAGGGAAAATCTAAAGTCAAGCTAAAGCCTTGGTGCTGTCGGCTATTCTCAAAACATGGCTACCTCGCTCTAATTTTATTTACAGTAACAATACCCTTTTAGCGGCAGGATGTTGTAAATCAAAACTAAGAAATCTGAAGCACTGATATCGTCTTCTTTGTCCTGGTCTTGTGAAACCAATACTCGGACATAGTTTCGGCAGAAGCTGGTATATGAGGCTTTTCCATACTCCAAGAACATCTTTCCTTTTAACTACGAGGCTTTGAAAACACAATTCTTGCTCGCATTTCATTTTTATTCCCGCAAAGAACTTGAGAGCGCCCTCTAGAGTCTCTTTGAATTCCTCTCTGCGTCTCTATCCATAAAATTTACACATGAAGTCAAAACACTCTGCTCGTGTTTACTTGCGGTCGTTGACGTCAGGGCGTATTGTGTGTTATCCAATCACTGCCACATCCAGATTCTGGATGTGTCACACGATTTGCTGAATGGTTTTGTGTCAGGCCTTCCTTTCTCTTCTCCCCCTCCCCCCTCCCCATCAAAAATCTCCTCTCCCCTATCCCCTTAGGAAGACCTGATACTCAGGCTATATAATGGGGGTACCTCGACAACACTAAACACTTAACAAGGAGTTTTTGGTCATTCTCCAACATTTCCTGATTATTCGAAGATTTCCGTTAACTCCCGAAGATTCTCGAAACTTGCGAAGATTTCCGGAAATGACCGAAGAAATCCGAAGATTTGCAAGGAGAAATCCGAAAATTTTTTACCTTACTTTTTCGTCGCTAATTTCACATGTGAAAGATATATTTTCTATAGTGTACAGATAGGATTTTTTTTTTTTCAGGAAAATCCCCTCTCCGAAAACAGTGAAACATTAAAAAATTGTCCACTTTAACAGCAAACACTAAAAGTTATGGCTAAATAACAATAAACACTATATAAACCCTTATCCAGACCCTCTCTCAGGAAGAAGAACGGCCTCACACCGTTCGAAATATCGGGAATAGTTACTCAAGTCGCTTTGTTATTTGCAGTTTTGTTGTTACAGTTTATTGGTCTTTGTTACTGCGCTTTTCACAAACATGCGAACTCTAAAGTTCAAAAGCCGCCTTCACAATCGCGTTTTTCGCTGCCGTCAATCATAATTACGATCACAAGCAACGAACCTTGAAACACAGAAACACACAGATGGGATCGAAATCCACCAATCACACACCACAAACCATGACCTTTTGAACCCGTTAAAGTAAAGTTTTGTTTCCTAAGAGGTTCTTTAAGATGACTGACGGCAATGAAAAACGCAATCGTCAGTTGGCTTTTGAACTTCAGAATTCGCATGTTTGTGAAAAGCGCAGTAAAACAGCAAGATTTACTATAAAAAAAACTTATGTCAGGTCCCGAGGGAAACATGAGGACTCTCTCTTGTTTTATACTCATATTTTCACTCAAAGAAATAAGTTCGCATCAAACAAAGTAGGTACATATAGAAACACAAGTTTCATTCACAAAGGACAAAGACAACATCTGATCAGTGAAAAAAACAAGGGACTGTGCAATAATTACCTGGAGGGGGGAGTTGGGAAATTAGAGGTGGAGAGAGAGTGGGGGGTTGGATGTAAACTTTAATACATACAGGGGGGGGGGCTTTACTTTTTCATTCCTTTTTGCAAACTGGAAAAGTAGTGGAAGAGTTATTAGAGTTCAAATATAAATACTAACATTGGAATAAAACTGACAAATTTATCAACTCTAAGGTGTTCTGATCTATGAACTGTTGTTTTCCTATCTGCAATGCAGTAGGAAAGGAGTGCCCCTGTTATATATGTTTAAACAGTGCTACTTTATTTGAACTAGGATTTAATAAAACAGGGAACTTTAATTAAAAGTTGCAAAATTAGCACTATAATGTGATTCAATGAAAAAGCACACATGGCATCATAATTTAGCAGAATGAAAAACCCAACTGTTGAAATTTTAATAGCAATACAACTTAAAGTATGGTAAATAAAACATGTAAAAGATGTAAACGCGCTTACCACCAGGCTGCTAAAAATGTATCTAAAGCAAAAAGGTCTTAAGTTAAGTGGAAGAAAAGCTGAGTTGATTGATCGAGTTCTCACCCACGCACGCGGGAACCTTAGTGCCAGAGACCACTGTAGAAGATGAGGAATCTCCCAATTCATGCGAAGACGACACAAGCTCAGAGTCCAGTGATTTTGATGACTCTTCAAATGACTCTTCGACATACGTCGAAGAGTCATTTGAAGTGATGTTTGTACCGGAGGAAGAAATCCAACAAGTAAACTAGGTATGGGGAATCAATAGGAGGAGATTTTTTTAAAGGGGGTGGGGTTAGCCTTAATATTATCATTATGTGGGGGTTGAAATTAATTTTTGCTTAATGAGAGGGGGGGGGGTATGACTTAGTTTTGGGGTATATTTCACTCATTTTCCAACCCCCCCCAAGGTAATTATTGCACAGTCCCTAAATGCTGAAGAAACAGCTCACAATTTACTTCACAGTTTTTACGCATGCACAGTAGAGTCGAGGACCATCCCATGACGGAAAAGCCGGTGCCCCCTTCGGGTATGATGCTAGGGAGACTACATGCCGCTGTTCTCATAAAATCATTTCATCAATGGATCAGTACAACAGTAAATTAAATATAACGGGATGTGCGATACTGATAAGTTTGACCTTTTCTTTCGTCATTCAATAACTACCCAAGTTCTTTCGACCAAAACTGGTAAAAAGGCACCAAGGCACTTTATTATTTTGAAGACCACATACATACATACATACATACATACACTTTATTGATGCTCCCTAAGTGGGCTTTTCAGCTCAATAGAATAAAAAAAATACAAATATATAAATTAATTGAGAATGTAAATACAATAATATTATAATTACAAAATATATATCAATAATATAATATATCAACTTAATAAAACATTTGCAAGATGACGTCTAAAATTCCTGGGGCATTTTAAGGACTTAATGTTATCATTCAAGGAGTTCCAGAGTTTGGCTCCTCTGAAAGCAAAGGAGCGCTGCCCTGTTGACAGGCGACATAAAGGTATATCCAAAGCACCAGATGATCGAGTTTGTCTATTATGGACTTGAGAACGTGATTTAAACATATCAGCAAGATAGTCTGGAACAAGCTTGTTAATACATTTGTGCATCATAGTAGCGTCATTTAGAATGAGTTTCTCTCTAATAGGAAGCCATTTCAACGATCGCAACCCATCCGAAATATGGTCATACTTTCTTAGTCCCAGAATAATTCGCCCAGCAAAGTTTTGGACTTTTTGTAACTTGTCAATATTGCTGCTGCTGGTATTACTCCAGACAGTTGAACAATATTGGAGTTTACTAAAGACAAATGAATTTATTACTAACAGAAGTGTTTTCCTATCCAGGAGGTGCTTGATTCTGTTAATTTGGTACAATTTAAAAAGGCATTTAGAGGCAATCTCAGTGATATGTTGGTTATAACTGAGGCGTGTGTCGAGAAGAACACCCAAGTCCTTAACGACAGGCACAGGTGTTATTTCCTTGTCAAAAAGTGTTATACTGAATGATGACAGTTTCTTTAAAAGTTGTGGTAATCCAACAGCTAGAACCTTAGTTTTGTCCGGATTAATCAAAAGAGAGTTTTTACAGCACCACTGAGATATTCTCGTAAGATCTTCGTTTAAGGCGAGGATGGACGTGGGTAATTCGGCAGGTGAAAAGGACAAATACAATTTACAATTATCAACATAGGAGGCAGATAGACAACGTTTAGGAACAGAAAGGAGGTCGTTAACATAGATTGTAAACAAAACCGGACCTAAAATAGAGCCTTGCGGAACTCCGAACTCAAGTGGGAGTACTTTAGAAACTGCGTCACCAATTCGAACGCACTGTTGTCGGTTAGAAAGGTAACTCTGAAACCAATCCAACGCACCCTGGGAAAAATCGAGATTTTGTAGCTTGGATAACAAGATGTCGTGTCGAATACTATCAAATGCTTTAGACATATCTAATAAGACCATGATGGAAACTTTCTTGTTATCCATAGCCTGGAGCAACTGATCTGTAACGTACAACAGAGCTGTTTCTGTCGAGTGAAGCTTTCTATTTCCGCTCTGATTTGCTGCCAGTTTATTATTTCTAATTAGATGCTCCATAAGTTGTCCATGTACCAACCTTTCAGTGACTTTTGAGACGATTGGTAATAATGAGATGGGGCGATAGTTGTTAGGGACATCTGGATTACCGCATTTGAGAATAGGTGTAACCTCTGCTGTTTTCCATGCACGTGCAAATGTGTTGGTAACAAAGGAGTTATTCACAATGTGGGTAATTGTTGTTAGCGTACTGGGTAAACTGTCTTTAAGAATTCTAGAAGATATCTTGTCCATTCCAGGAGCTTTGTTAGATGGTAGGCTTCTAATCACCCTTTCTACCTGATTTTCCGTGACTTGATGGAGAACGAATAATTCGGGGCTAAGTCCATGATGTAAAGATAAGTCCCTGGCTTTTTGAGCAGTAATACTGCCGACGGAAGTGAAGAAATCATTTAATTCGTTAGCTAACGCAGTGGGATCCTCAGAAGCCATAAAACTATCTTGTTGTTTACGTGGTAGACACCGGTTAATGATTTTCCAAATTGAGTTAGAATTTCCATTGCTATCCAGGATCTGAGTCCTGACGTGAACCTTTTCGGCCACACGAATCTCCCTTTTCACTTCTTGACGAAAAAATCTGTATCCGTTCCAGTGGAAAGGGTCATTTGTTTTTCCCGCAAGTTTGCGCCATTGGTCGCGCGTTCTCATTAGTTGACGAATTTCTGGTGTTATAAAGGGGTTAGGTTTAGATCTAATTTTAACCCTCTTGACTGGAGCATGTTGACTTAGTACTTCCAAGAACAGTTCGTTGAATACATCAACTTGATCGTTGAAATCGTCAAATAGGCTTATTATGTGAAAAGGCGCATATGACAAATCACGTAGGAAATTGTCGGCGCTGTAATTAGTATAGCTTCTAATAGTGACGTAACAGGGCTTGATCCTTGGCTTTTTTAACTTCAGCGAGATGTAAACAAGATTGTGATCGCTAATAGTTGACATAAGGACGTCGTTTGAAGCAATTAGTTTCTCATTCGTGGTCATCACAACATCGATTAACGATTCCCCATTCTCCGTGGCTCTGGTTGGTTTATTGATTAATTGGGTGAGGTTAAAAGTCGAGCAAAAATCGTTTAAAGCACGGGATTCTGCGTTATCTTGAAGGAGGTTGCAACGACAGGATTTAAGGCCCAAAAAGTCACTTTAAAGGAGTTCAACTGTACTTGAAGTTAGCCTCTTTACAGGACAACGGAAATATTGCATGAATGCGACGGGGGTTAAATTGCGGCATTTTTGCAAAGAAGACTACCATGCAATCGTAATGAGCGGGCTGACCCCTCAACTACTGAGACATACGATATAAATAAAAGTAAAGGAAATTTGGTAGTAAAAGAAATTAGGCTGAAGTACTCACTACTGATCGATATCATGAGAGAAACAAGAATGATTGTAATCATGAAAGCTTCACCGAACAATCGGTTTATCACCTGACCCCGTTTCTGTAATATCTAGGTTTCATTTACGGTTAAAATGTTAAATACAGATTGTTGCGTTTTATAGCAATTTAGCAAGAACATATGGTTGGTTTTCTTAAAGGGTCACTTTGCTCTTAGCCAATTAGCTCTTTATGAGAGTAAATATTATTCAATTTCAGTGCAAGGTAGCTCATTTTCTGTGGTTTTAATCGTTTTCATTTATAAAAGAGTCTTGTTTCAAGATATTTGTATTATGCTATTAAAAATCTTTTTTCATGGTCACCCTTGCTAAAAAATGCAAAAAAATTAGACCAACACCGACTATATGTGATTGCTTATTTTCCTAAGTTTGAACAAAACTATTTCTTTTACTTTGCCGTTTATTATCTGAAGAATATTGAGTTTTAATAATTAAAATGTATCGACAGATGTTTTGGCTGCCTTTCTGTTTAAAATGAAACAAAATGATAAAAAATCAATCCTTCGACTCGTGTCTATCCATGATCGGAGAAATTTTCGCGAATAATGAAATGCCAAAATTGCATTCCGGTACGATGCAAGGTAAATATTTCATTGTTTCCTTCATAAATTATTTTACTCTTGTGTCAGAAACAATTTACAGGCTACAAGCAAATTGAACAAATCACGACCAAGTCCTGATATATATTGTTTTCAGTCGCAGGGTCGGTTTCATATTTTTTTGTCTCTTTAGCTTCTTTTGTGTGTTAACTGAATAGCCCAATGATTCTTATAGACTCAAAGAAAGGTGCACAACCAATCTTGTCTTCAGCGATCAGGCGATTTAAAAATCTACTACAGAATTTGTTCGCCTACTCATAAATAGACACACACAATGTATTTCTCGATGACTTGTCTAAATACCGTGTTACTTCAGTGTTTGACACCAGCCAGCTCATCACAAGTGAGCCCAATCAGTCAAATTTAGACTGACAATTTGATTTACATTCTTATTATCCTTTTGTTATTCTGTAATTGTATTATGTTTTCTTTTTTGAAACATTTCTCGAGAGTCAGGCTGTATATGTCAACTTGTGCCGCAGGTGAAGTATTTCATATCAAAGTGTCTTTTAAGGATAATTAAGAGTCACCTGACCTAACTAGGTGAGCTTCAAAAAGTTATTGAGCTAAGGTAAAAATACAGTCTAAGTTCCCGTTCTTCAGTCCCTCCGTCCATCTCTTCGTCCGTCAGCCTGTACGTCTGTCTGTCCGTCTGTCGGTCCATCTGTTTCCGTCTGTCTGTCCGTAACTGGAGCTGACCGCCACAGGAATGATACTCGTAACAGGCCACTTGTAAACCAAGCTTTACGTCTATTTTATCTTTTCTCCGGAACTTAAACCTGTATTCTATCATGAGAAGACACAAATGGCTTGAACTGTAAGTATCCCGGAGAGCTCCATACAATTCCTTATAATTTTGTTATAAGGAATTGTATGGAGCTTTCGAGGAGACTTTTCTTAATTAGCTTAGGCGCGGCGGATTTTGTCACGTATGATCAGCGCGAGGTGTTTTTCCCGACACCCTTCTGTCAGGAAAATGTCATCATAATTATGAAAGCAAAACAGACACGATCGCGTCGGCAGGCCGAAGCCGGCAAAAATATAAGGCTTTTCTTGTTCCATTTCAGAGGTCAGTTTTGTTTCGATCTGGTCAAAATCAGGTTTTTAGGTTGTAGGTAATAAAATATTGTCTTATTCTGTTCTCAGGAACCTTTAGAAAAAGAGATAATTGATTAGAGAAAGAAGCGTGAAAACGCATTTTTGGAAGAAAATATTTTTTAATTCCCGCAGCGATTTTGCGAAATCGCGAAGCGCAATATATTCAGTTTCTTCCAAAGCCGTCATGATTAAGCAGTGTAATGCCATCACAACTAAAAATGAATTTAGTTTGTATCGCAAAAGCTGCGAAAATAGAGATGAAAAAAAAAATAGATCGGAAAAATTAATAAAATCACCAAGAAACCGTCTCGCGCTAGCTTTGTTAAACAAATCGTTGGTACGGTTTATTTAACCTAACCTGGAAAAGGAGACGTCTGCACGTAGAATACATTTCATCCTACATGTAGTTGTGATTTCCAGAACGGACCTCGGGAGCCTCATTGCCGTAATATCTTCCACACTACAGAAACCAAAGCAGAATCGCCCTGCTCGCGTGCTAACTTTCCGCTCCAATTATGACTATACAGTACCAGTGAAATGTTTCAAAATTTAAAGCGGCCGAAACTTATTTCCATCAGCGCGTAGTTAGTTAGTTAAGCAATAATAATGCACAGCACTGTAAATAACACGGTTCTAGAATATCTGACGGCTTCGCGTTTTGTTACCGTGTATTACCTTACCTCAATTAATGATGTGTGTAAATTTGTCTTTTGCTATGGTTTTAGACAATACGACTTCTCCTGACTATCAATTTTGCGTCAAAACAAGCGCGATAATGAAATAGACGAAGTGCCATGGCATAGCACTTTATGAGAAAGTTTTAACTGGAAAACTTGTTACCATCTGATGTACACCTGTATAGTCTATGTTTGTAAGCTCTGCCTAAAGAATCACTGGATTACACTGCACCCATGGGTGTGCCACCTAAAGTGCAGCCTATGTTTGTTAGCTCTACCTAAAGAATAACTGGGTTACACTGCACCCATGGGTGTGCCACCTAAAGTGCAGCCTATGTTTGTTAGCTCTACCTAAAGAATAACTGAGTTACACTGCACCCATGGGTGTGCCACCTAAAGTGCAGCCTATCTTTGTTAGCTCTACCTAAAGAATCACTGGGTTACACTGCACCCATGGGTGTGCCACCTAAAGTGCAGCCTATGTTTGTTAGCTCTACCTAAAAGAATCACTGGGTTACACTGCACCCATGGGTGTGCCACCTAAAGTGCAGCCTATGTTTGTTAGCTCTACCTAAAGAATCACTGGGTTACACTGCACCCATGGGTATGCCACCTAAAGTGCAGCCTATGTTTGTTGGCTCTACCTAAAGAATCACTGGGTTACACTGCACCCATGGGTGTGCCACCTAAAGTGCAGCCTATGTTTGTTAGCTCTACCTAAAAGAATCACTGGGTTACACTGCACCCATGGGTGTGCCACCTAAAGTGCAGCCTATGTTTGTTAGCTCTACCTAAAGAATCACTGGGTTACACTGCACCCACGGGTGTGCCACCTAAAGTGCAGCCTATGTTTGATGGCTCTACCTAAAGAATCACTGGGTTACACTGCACCCTTGGGTGTGCCACCTAAAGTGCAGCCTATGTTTGATGGCTCTACCTAAAGAATCACTGGGTTACACTGCACCCATGGGTGTGCCACCTAAAGTGCAACCTATGTTTGTTACCTCTACTTAAAGAATCACTGGCTTACACTGTACTCACGGACGTTTGCCTCGCGCTCTCTTCAAAGACAAAAAAGCTATAGTCTGTTTGGCCAAAAATCAAGCTTTGTTTCCCCTAAAAATTGGACACCATATTAGGGCCCCGAAAGACGTTAAAAGTTCCTCCATAATAGAAGAGTGTTTTGTTAGAGTTAATAAACGTTTGGCTTACATGAGTTTCAATATAAAGGTGCAAAAACTTATCAGCATAATTATAGCACACAAACATTGTCATCAAACTCCTGGCATGTAGCCTGAATAAGCCAAGCAAATATGAATAAAGCATATAACGAGAAATATTCGTCAAATGGTCTCGTTAAGTAAATTATACTTCACTTTGCGACAGAAATTTATCGTTTGTATCCGTGTTACGCATCGAAAAAGCGAAGAGTCATCGCATGACATTAGGTAACAGAGGTAATACTCACGAGTTTCACGAATTCCAATTCCATGATTTTTTGCCGAGTAACAAATTAAAAACTTCAATTCTTACCTTACAGTGGTCGGTTCATTTACCTTACATTTGCCAACACTAATAAACATGAACAAAACGATGAAATCCGGCACTCTTCTTTCAGAAGTAGCAAGCCGCATGAAGTAAAATCCACCGATGTGCGCTGCATTCTCACTACAAATATAAACATTTGTCGTGAAGAAAATACGACGAGGAGGAAAAAATGCCAGATCTTCGCCTCGGCAATGTGTTCCAGCTACCAAGCCGGCGTATCTCCAGAAGGTGGACTCGAAGTACGACAAACCTTGTGATTTTTTTAGGAGCCCTTTGCGCGCAAACTAATTTATTCTGGCGCGAAATGAAGATTAAGAAAATGTATCTGAAATCTAATACACGACAAGAAAATTTTCGCACTTTCGAGGAGCGCGACATATTAAATGGGATTAAGTCGGATTAGCTGCCCGCGGAGAAAACATCCCTGCGTGGGATGGTACTTCCAGTAAAAAGCCTCTGTGTCCTCTCATGCTATTCCATGCCATTCCATTCAATTCCATTCCATCCCATCCCACCCCATCCCATCCTATTCTATTCTGTTCATCAATTTAGTTCGCATGTTTCAGATTTTTTCCCATATGTTTTTTGATTCTTCAGTCTAGTGAGTATGGTGACAGCGAGAAGGAAACACTCCACACTCACTCAAGGAAAGGAAATACACAGGAAATCAAAGCGCTTCTTCAGCAAAACGAAGGTCAGTTTTATTATAAGAAGAAATCATAGAGGGTCAGAACAAACTTTTATAAGTTGATTAATAGTATTATATTTCTCTGTTCTTACGAACACTCTGATTGGGCAGTTTAGCAGACCGTATCTCACTCTCACAAACTGGAAATTTAAAAGTTTGTCTTGGTTGCGATTCATGACATAAGCATGTTGTAAGGCTGTTCTTGCCAAGTACGTTTGTTTAAATAACCCGCCTTAAAAATTACTGCTGGTCCATAAAAGCAAACACCCTCCGCTTTTACCTACAGACATTGATAAAAGAGACAATTATGGCAAAACCGCCCTCCACCATGCTGTATCAGCAGGACAGGCCAGTACAGTGAAATTTCTCCTCCATCACCATGCCAACCCAAACCTGAAAGATCACAGAGATGAAGCACCTCTACACGCCGCAGTGCGGACAGGGAACTTGGAAGTGGTGGAGGTATTCCAGATTTTAATCGACTTTAATCAAGTGTTCAATAGACCTTTTTAACGATACGGCGGCCAAATTGAATTTACTACAGGCGCGGATCTAGGAAAAATACTGACCGATTTCTTTCATGAGCGCCAAAGGCGCAAGTTTCTAGGGGGGATCCAAGGGCTTGCACCCCATTGAAATATTTGGATTTTAAATACCTTAAGTCTCCTTTCCTTTAGGTCTCTGAGTCATTCAGACAGGATACTGGCTAGATTTTAACTTGGAAAGTCTTCTCATTAAAATGTAATTATTTATGAAAAATCTGAGCGATTTTCGTGAAACGGTGGAAACCTGTGTGGATCCGCGCCTGTACTAGATTTAAGGAGTATTATGGGATGCCCAGTGGGCACTCGCTCAGTTTAAGAGGGCTTTTCGGGCGAAAAGAGAACTGTATATCTCGGGAAAAAGGCGATCATTAATACATCCAAACACGGCACAACGATCTGTTTTGCTCATTACAATCTTTTTTCTAGGAGAACTTAAAGAGAAATTGGCCTGAAAAACGCGCGTAAATACTGAGCGAGTATATCGGATCGTGTTCATGCCCCCTGGGCATCCCATAATAGTCCTTAACTCTAATAAATTCAATATGGCCGCCGTATCGGTAAAAAGGTCTATTGGTTTCCTTTGTGATTGGCTAAGAAATCTTCTCTGGCCACTCCTTTTTTAAGTAAAAAAAGAATGCAGGCACGCATCGTGACTAACTTGATTTCCCTTCGTTTGGTCCCCGATACATCCATATGTTACGATGCGTGATTGTTGTACTTGATTGCCACAGTGTCATTGTGACTTTTTAGTGGTCGTGTGGTTACTTCTCTGGTGTGAAAATTTCTCATAAAAGCATGAAAAAAAGTAAATTCCAACTTATAGAATTGCACAGTTTTTTTGTCTTTTCACTCTTTAGCCTTGTGATATCAATTTAAACCTTAAAAAAATATTATTGACTTGAAAGAGATAATTTGTGATATTACTTAGAGAACAAGCACTCCAAAATGCTCAAATATCTGCATTTTACTTTCCCGGCCAATACCACACGCATCCACACAACCATATCACACGGGCAGTGGCAGCCATGGACAGCTGTTTCGCCTTATTTGGGCTCATCAGCATGCCATAATCATCGGACCACCGTGCGGTCAAAGCCCCGTTCAGAGGCCCTTTACTTCCGGTGCGTGTGCATAGCACTCCTTTAAGCGCAAGCTCCACACAGAGCCTCAGTTAGGTGTCAACTGCTTCTTCTCAGCGTGCCCCGTTGTCCGTGCGAATTCTGGGGAAGGGTTCGGTGACGTCACAGCTCATGCTAGGGTCCAGGTTTGACCAACCAAGCACCTCCAATGGACTGGGCTAACAATACTCAAAAGTACAAATCCTTTTTTAAGAGTTTGTTCAACGGTGTTCTCTTTGCTTTCAAATACGCTTTTGATTTAATTTTGAATACTGAGCTGCCTATCAAACTGGGAAAAACTAGTCAGTTATGGACAGTAATTTCAAACATTGGACTTTTCCTTATTTTGTCAGGCCTTACTTCACCACAAAGTAACCAATGTTAACATCGAGGGACGTAACAAGTACACACCGCTCCATAATGCTGCTTATCTGGAAAATAGAAACGCTCTTGAAATATGCCAAAAGCTGGTAAGGATAACTCAAATGGTGAAAATAAACCGGGGTGCGGAAGGGTATTCCCGAGGGGAGGGGATATCCGGGATCTGACAAAATACAGTGCGGAATTAGGGCAACGTTACTGAGATACGGGATTAGACTGCTACCCTGGAAGCGGGATTCGCCAAAATTAGGGGAAGAAAATGATATTCGGGATAGCAATGACGGAAGTTCAGGGCGCGGAATTCTCGTGAAAAAGAGGCGGGAAAGCGGGATCAGAATCCTTCCATTCCAGATCCTGATTTACCAATGGAATGAAGTGGTGCCTTTTTTAAAGCCAAATGTAAGCAGGCCAAGGCACCTATGCGTTCGTAATTTATAAGGCTTCTTATCGGGTCCCGTCTGTGCGTCTGTGTGGAAGTCACAACTGTTGTGATTCAAAGCGGAATAAAAGCGCTAACTTATGTATAACCTGTTCTAAACTCTCAGTTGGTCGGGACGAGCAAGAAAGAAAAAACGAGCGCTGTCTGGAAATAAAGAAACTTTATCATAATGACGAAGAAATTTTAGGAGCGAATACATGAATATGGTAGGAATGGGAAAAGAATCAGGAAAGCACCGAACTGTGACTGAAATATTGAAGGAAAGTCCAGCCTCCACTTTAAGACTATTTTCTCAGTTAAGCGTGTTTTGTTTTGTACTAGTTCATGATTTATTTCATCCTGTACATGTAAGAAACAAGAAGCTGTTTATGTTTATTCCAATGACAAAAGCAAAAAAAATGGAGATAAGACGTGAAATTGTTTGATATTCGCACTTCATATCAATATTGTCCCGACAGGGGAAACAAAGTTATGGGAGGAAATCACGACTGCCAGGACAAAAAGCATGCCGAATAATGAGGGAATCCGAGGTCAGCCACCACCAGGGGAGGTGGGAGGAGCGAAACTTTGAAGTCACTTCCAATACTGGCCAAGAGGCGGGCAAAAAACGAATAATTCTGACCAAGGACCGCAATGCATCAGACCACCAGCGCGCAGGCAAAACTCGACGGAATTTAAAGGAGTTACTTATTTCCCGCGTGACGGGTTAATTATGTATGCAGTGGGAGTAGAAAACAATATTCATTCTCTCTTGGTTTATTAGGCCACTCCCGAGTTCCAAAAGCTCTCACTTTCAAAATGAGGCCAAGTGCACAACCTTTCTTGTGAAAACGAGTTTTACTTGCATGAGAATGAAAAATTATTTCCATATCAAAGGCTGAGCACTTAACCTCATTCTGATACAGAGGCCCGGGGAAACTCGAAAATGGCTTGTTGCCTGTATAATAGTGTAAAAATGAAGGTCGAATGTATGTAAGAAAACTGTAAGAGAGGCATGTTCTTTTTTTCCTTTATTTTCAGTTAGACTGCGGCGCAAAAGTCACAGCTAAAGGAATAGATCAGATGACTCCACTTAGTGTGGCAGCTCAGAAGGGGTCGGCGGATATCATGGCCCTCTTTTTCAAGAAATGTACGTAGTACGTTAATAATCGGGCATGTCTCTTGAAAATAACAAGTGGTTACGTAGCCACCTATTGTTGCTCTTTTCCGCACAGGTCTGACGAGGTGGCCGAGTGGTTAAGGCGTTGGACTGCTAATCCAATGTGCTCTGCACGCGTGGGTTCGAATCCCATCCTCGTCGCACATTTAATTTTTATTGGATTTTATCTATTTTTAGTAAGTTTCTTTTCTTGAATTAGGTAACGAGAAAAATATAAATCTTGTCTTTTTGACTGATGTCAAACAACCGTGGCTTTTCATGATTAAAGAGCTCGTTGTTTTTATTTGTCGATTTATGTCCAACAGGCGATGAAGTTAAAAGAGGAACAAAACAGCAGCACGACCTGATCTACAATGTTGACTATGAGGGCAGCTCTCTTTTGCATTTAGCAATAGACAGTGGTGTTTTGAAGGTAACAAAGAATTGCGCATAATGACCAGCATTAATATACCGTATTGCTAGAATAATAGCCGGTGGCGATGATTATTTTCTTCGCACAAAAAGAGGTAATTATTCGCGGGAGGAGATTTTTGAAATATTCAAGGGAAGTCGTTCCCAAAATCAAAAAATGATCACGTCAAATAAACTGAACAAGGGCTTTTTAAGTGTTCCAAATTTGGTTCTATGATTAATTTTCAAAGGCAATATCCTCGGCGACAGAGCTTGAATCGTCACTGATCAGTTTTGCTGGATCAGACTTTACTAGTGGATAAAAAAGGGAAGAAGGCGGGGGGGGGGGGGGCGATTATTCAAGGGAAGAGAGTATTTTAAAAAATTTCCGTCTAAGGGGGCGATTATTTGAGGGACAGCTATTATGCGAGGAAATACGGTATCCATGATTTTTCATTTACCAGTTTACAAAGCCCCTACTTAGAAAAAAGTATTGTTTCAATTTAGCATTACAGGGTCCACAACAGTTCCCAGTTAACATTAAAACGCACCTGTTCGCTACTTTACGGGATTATCCCGGAAGTGGAACTCGTATTCCGCCGTGAAATACACGAGGACTTAAGCTGGGAGCTTCCTAATAGTAACGCCCCATCTAGACCACTTGCTTCACCTAATAATTTGCTTAGAAGTGTAACTCTGTTTAGGTTGTATTAGTAATTTTGTCACTAATTATTCTTCCTTAGTAACTTGAAAACTCTTAATTTAATTTCTAACCAATAATTCTGTCTTTGTGCCCATTACGTAACTTACACTATGAACTTCTTCAAGTTGTCGCTCTTGGTGATTAGCTGACAGTGTGCTTTTCGTTCATTTGCTATTCCTCAAAAACCCATAACAAAAGTAAAAAATCATCGTTCTTGTGACTGAAAGTCAAACACTTTAGTAAATACATAAAGTAAATATGAACAACAATTGTCCCAAAATAATAATTGTATCTGTTTATGTAGCTCAAACAAGTAACGTGTTTTTATTGTAAGCGTGGAATTAATAACTGACAGAATAACTGAAACAATCCGCAAAAACGATTTTCAGGTAAAAGCGTAAACTTTCTTAGATAAGGTTGCTGCGTTAAGTATCTTTTTGGGGGAGACACGCAGCAACCTTGTCATAATATTACTGAATACTATGTATTGCCTATAACAGTTATACGTATTCTCTTTTTATAATTTTTCAGGCAGTTAAGCTGTGCCTGGATTCCGGGTGTTCTGTAGCGGCAGTAAAGGTATAATTTAGCCTCATAATCTATGTTGAACACTTATTGAATATTAATGATTTGCTCAGGCTAATGACCCAACAGACTTTTAGAAAGTCTATGTGTTTTGCTTTTCCGCTTTGATGATTTGGTATTCGGTTTTACAGAGGATAAATGGTGGTACTCCGATCCACTTGGCTTGCAGACTTGGGGCACTGGAAATCTTACAATGCTTGTATGAACACGATCCAGCGGCGTTCAGATTCCCCTTGGTAGACAAAGAAGCTATGACCCCTTTACACAGGTAATCAATTTAGAAATTACATAGAAGTCTATTGATTCAGTATTGTAGTTTTCAGTTCAGTTCAAAGTTAAGGGGTCATCTGCCAAACACGAAACACAATGTTTTATCACATATCAAACATAACACGAGAAGAGAGTTGAAAAGGCGATGGCATGGGTAGGTGAATATTTTTTGGAGGAACTTCGAGTGGTAATACCAGCCGTAAAAGTCCGAAAATAAGCCCGTCCATGCACAAGCCTCTCCAAATATAAAGCTCCCCAAACTCGTTACGGATGAAACCCCCGTTTAATCGTCCTTCGAACAGTTAAACCCCCCCGGGGTATTATACTTGGAAATTGCTCTCAAATACAAGCCAAAACGGTACAGTAACATATATATTTTTTTGTTTGCCTAAGAACTATGGGGGCTTGGATTTCTTCTTTCCACTGACAAAGTACTTGCAAGGGCCGGAAGTTATATTCAGCCACCCTGCACCCAAACTCTTTCTGGTGCTCCTCGCTTTTCACCTGTTATCTTTGCAACGATAGAATATACTATCATAAATTTCCTTCCAACTATATAGATTTAGATTTTTTTAGACGCAGCTTTCCCTCCAAGTATAAGCCTTAGCAGATTTTAAACGCAAATTTCCTTCCGTATATAAGCCCATCCGAGTATAACCCCTTCAAAACATAAGCCCCTCAAAAAGGGTCAATGAAAAAGTGAAAAATATAAGCTCCGCGGGGCCTTATTTTCGGTATTTTACGGTATTAAAGCATAAGTGGCGTCATAGGCACATACATTGATCTATCAGTTACTAATTAGATAAGTATTTGTTTTATCAGTAAGTAAGGTTACTATAAAACAGGCAACAAAAACCTGCGACTCGTTTTGCAACATTTCTGCAAAAAGAGTTGAATAGCGATGTTACGCGTTCTACCACCCACGGTCAAACCTGTCTTGTAACAAATCAGAAACTTTTGATTGGATAAAACTACGCGGGAGTCACACCATACACGGGAGTTACGTCACTTGCTGCAAAACAAGTTTACCTTGGGCGGGTAAAACACGTAACATGTGCAGATTTTGTTGCAAAAAGTAGAACCACTCTCTACTCTCTGCAACAACTTTTCGCACCCTGCAACAACCTGATTTGTTGCAAGACAGGTTTGAAGGTGATTGGTAAAACGCGCATCGTCGCATTTCAACTCGTTTTACAGCAATGTTGCAAAACAAGTTGCACGTTTTTGTTGCCCGTTTTACAGTACCTTTAAACCTAAATCTCATGGCTGGCTTCAAATCAGCAGCACGTTTATGGCCTTTTCATTTAGAAATCGTTCAGATCAGTCGATCTGCACCCGCTTTACTGTGAATGATGACTGTGGTTCCCTAACATTAACCTTTGTATTTCTAAAATGCTTTCTTCTTGCAGATGTGCAATGTATAATCATGTAGGTGTTGTTCAATTTTTAGTTGATCATGTAAGTATCCACTCTGTAAGTTTCTTTCAGTCTTAAGATCTCTTAATAACACTGGTAAATGGTTTGTCCTTGAATTTTTCTTATTCTTCTCTCCTTCTTCTCTCCTTATCGTTTTCAGGGAGTAGAATTAAACCCACGCGACCGAGAAAAATGTACACCACTACTCTTGGCAGCGGCTCACGGCTGTCCAGCGGTTGTATCTTATTTGTTGGGAAGTGGAGCTGACGTCACATGTGAAGATGACAAGAAAAGAACAGCACTACACTGGGCGGTTGGACAGGATAAAACCATAGAGCGGCTATTGAAGGTAAAATTTTATGCGCTGGCCAGTGAATTAGCACGGTCCTGTTTAGACAGCGTTTTGCCAAACGTAAGGGCTATCTACACTTCAGTAGGCCCTGTCATCCTTATAAGAAGATCACGAAAGCAGCGAGATAGAAGCTGGCCACTGATTGGGCACAAAATGATTTTTTTGCTCAATCACAGACAAACATTCGAATAAGTCGAGGAACTGGTTCGTTAAGAGTAGTATCCCAGGGGCTCTCTCTCCCGCTCTTGAAAACTTTCGCCGCCGTTTTTCCTGACCCAACAGACGGGCAGTGGCGATGAAGACAACATTCTGTCATTAGAGTTACACTAAATCCATTGTTGGGATTTTTGAAACGGCACTTTGTCCGTTATGCTTATTGGTGGCGAACAATTTGCACCTGTCTGACGAGGTGGCCGAGTGGTTAAGGCGTTGGACTGCTAATCCAATGTGCTCTGCACGCGTGGGTTCGAATCCCATCCTCGTCGTGTTGGTATTTTAACTTTTTTTTGTTACATACTTTAATATGCGTTTTGACGATAACAGTAGAAGGAGCTATACAATATTGAAAATAAACGTCTGAAATACTGAAAAAAGCATCGAAATTTTCTCATTTTCCAAATTTGCTCGACACGTCATGTTTTGCGTTTAAAAAGTTTTCTATAAACTTGGTTTACACCCTTAACTTGTAACACAGGATCCCCTCGTACAGAAAATGAAGCTTGTGAACCAACAGGACAGTACAGGGGCGACGGCTCTTCATTACGCTGCACAAGGCGGGTTCCTCAAGGTGAGACTTATTTTTATTCCCCTCGAGTTTCATATTTTTGTTTTTGTTATTTCAGTCATTTCCTTTCCATTTCTTTTTACAGAGCGTTCTTTTATTGCTCAAGAATGGAACTGATCCAAGCATAAAAAACAATAAGCTTGAAACTCCGCTTCATTTATCCGCCAGGTACAGTAGGCACATCAAACAACAGGGCTATAGTTAGGCTTTGTGCCTGTTTATATGAGGTGAGCTAGCCCGGTTAGCCGGTATGGTCCGTTTTACCGGGCTGCCTGGTTTCTCTTAAAATTGTTGTTGTTGTTGTTTTTTTTATGAGAAGGCGGCCGAGATCTCTGCACGAGCAACCGAGATCTCGGCAAGCGCGCCAATCTGCCTTCTCATGTAAGCAAAGCAAAAAAACACTGAAACAAGGTATGAGCCCAAGCTAGCCTGGCAAAGCTTGCCAGCCGGGCTAAAAGCTCTGGCTAACTTCATATAAACAGGCCCTTAGTATAGGCTCTTAGTTCGTCTCATAAAACAGGCGTGTCCCTAATTTAGTGCTCCTCTTAATAATGCTAAGAAAAAAAAAACAATAAAAGCAACAACGAGAGCTTTTTAAAGGCTATTGTTGATTAATTTCCAAAGTGGTCTTGGTTTATTTCTTACGAAGCTATACCACTGCGCGTTTAAAGCGCGGGTTTAGCTATCGCAACTATGACTGATGACGCTTTTTGCAAATCTACCTCATGTCTCAAGACTACAGTAGTTACAGTAGTTAATGATGTTATCTTCTTATGCTTGTTTGTTCAGTCATGGCTGGCTACCGATCGTAAAGAAGCTAATGGAGGGTCGACAGACGCGTTTAATGAATGTAGGTAACTTAAGCGATCACACGCCTCTTCACTTAGCTGCTTCTAATGGACAAGACAAAGTTGTCAAATTTCTCTTGGACAGAGGTGCTACGATAGAAAGGTGAAAAGTAGCTTTAGCTAATAATTATTTCAACTCGGCTTCTAAATTAACTAAAAATGCCGTGTGTCAAAAGCGTTATTGCACAACTTGATTGAGGATAAAGTCATCAAACACGGCGTACTTGAATGCAGTAGCATGACAATAAAGTTTTCTTTTCATGGTTTTAAGCATATGCTTGTGCTTGCTTTTAGAGTGCTCTATTGCGCTGGCTTCGTTCAGACGTTGCATAAACTCGTTAGCTACCGTGGAAGGCGTTTAAAAGACTAGGGGAAGAGGTGTGAGAGAACAAAAAGGACGCGCACATCGTGTTAACGTGCGCTTCTATTCCCCCTACACCTTTGAACCCCGGCACCTTCAAGCGTTTGTCACGAGAACAAAGCTTAATACAGGGCTCGATAAAGTCATGAAAAATCTAAAAAGCGGTGAAATGTAAGAACTTCATTTTCCAGGCCTGAAAAGTCATGGCATTTAATTGTCGGTCATGGAAGGTCATGTAAAATTGAAGTCATTTATGGTAGATTAGTTGTTGCAAATTTCAAAGCAACTGAGGAAAATGTAAGATAGAGACGACAGACGAGTAATTCAATAGCGCGAACGAGACCCATTTTGGTGGACACAAGTGTTTCTGTCTGTTTAACAGAGTTAGGCGAAAATATTGCCAAAAACAAGAAAAGTTTTCAAAAATTTCGAAAGTGACAGCTAAACTGACTTAAGGTCATGGAAAACATGGAAAAGTTCATTGAAAAAGTGGTGGAAAGTATAAGTCTTGAAAGAGTTCAAAAGAGTTCGAACCCTGTGATACTATTTAGTGGCTGTCCAGCTTTCTGCTGGACTCCTTACAACTCTACATTCGATTGTTAGAATGTATTAAATGGGAAAGTTGACGTTTTAACAATGCAAAGTCTGTCTTTTATCAGTATTATTATTGTTTTAGGGATACAGACGGGCGTACACCACTGCATTTTGCCGCAGCTAAGGGTTCATTGAAAAGCGTCCAGTTAATCAGTGCTGCGAGTTCTAACTGCATCAACGTGGAAGATAATGCAGACCAGGTAATTATAAGAAAATGCTGAAAATACTGTTTTTGATGAGAACAACAGATGCGAGTAAATCGGAAATATAAATCACACTAATCTCGCTTCCATGCCATCAGGGTATGAGGAGGATGATGAGGATAAGTAATGGTAACAGGACTGAGTGGAGACCAATTCGGTCTGTAATCATACGAGTGATTAACAACATCGGATGACCACGTAGCGGGAGTCCGATTTGTTTAATCACGAGTATGATTACAGACCGAATTGGACGACACGAAGTTCAGTTACCAATTAATCGTTACTTTAAAAAAATTTGTGATATATAAGGCTCTTTTTAAAATCAAAACACAAGAAATTCTAAGATTTGTTTTTGCCAGCAATGAAAAAAAAAAAACATTTCAGCGCGCGCCGGCTTAATGGCGCGCACTGTCCAATTACTTACTAGGCATGAGGCGTACTGTCCTATTAAACTGTTCTATTAAGGTGGCTCCGTAATTAATACAAGAGCATTTAGCTGTGACAAATTTTCCGTCATAAATTTTTGGTTTTTAACGCGATGGCTGCGAAACTTTGCAAAGAACAACAGATATCATTAGGCAATGATTCGAAATATTCCGATTTCACTGATGGTAAATATTTCTCGAGAAATTAGCGCTTAAAAGGACCCTACTGTTCAAAGAAAATCGCGTCTAGTAAAAAATTTTGCTGATATTTTTTACTGAAATTTCTGGTATCGGCTTTAATTGATATAATAAATATGCCAGAGGAATTTCAGAAAAATCGTTGGAGCAGAAGTCCGAAACTAAAAGTCGCTCAAAATTCAGCTGTGAAATTGTTTTGGAATTTCAAAAATAAATTACCATCAGCGAGAAGGAGCCACCAGTTTGAATTTTCGGGACAAGTAAATTCAGTGTTTGCTAATTCTGAAACAGAAGCCGATTGCCTATCGTGCTATTCTTTAAAAGGTACTGTTCAGTTTTAGAAGCACTATAAATTGCTTCAAAACTTTGCTCTGACGTCGAATGACTTGTTGTCCTTGTTCCTCGACATTTTTAAAATATCCCTTGGCAGTTTTGGTTCAAACTCCTGCTGCACACATTTTGATGTATTGCAATGCATCCTCAACGGCTTTTCCTGCTGTACGTTGTTTCCAATTCAGGAAAAAAGGTATTGGGATTGTAAAAGCTACCTTGTATCAAAGCTCAGATAGAACTGTCCAGCACCTTTGTTTATGACCAGAAAATGAGCACGAGCGGCACTTGTGCGAGGAATTCGCACCCTCAGCCAGGGGGACGAATGACAATGGTGCCCATGTCTGTGAACCGATCTGTATAAACATGTATTGCAGAGCAAAACATAATAATCAAGAAAAATACCCATTCATTGAGGGAAGGAGTGACAAAAAATTCCAGAGTTGTAAATTTATTCACGGGCAGTATTTTTGCGATAATTTTATTTTGGACTGTGATGTTATTCGGTTCACAGGCATGGTCATCGATGTCGTTCGTCCCCCTGTGTGAGGTGCGAATTCCACGCAGAACTGCCGCTCGTGCTCATTTTGTAGTCATAAAACAAAGGTGCTGGACAGTTCTATCTGAGCTCTGGTACGAGGTAGCCTCAATCTCAATACTTTTTTCCTGAGTTGGAAGCAACGAACAGAAGTAAAAGTCGTTGAAAATGCATTGCAATACATCAAAATGTATGCAGCAGGAGTTTGAACCAAAAACTGCCATGGGATATTTTAAAAATGTCGAAGAACAAGTAATTCTACCTCAGAGCAAGGTTTGGAGCAATTTATAGTGCTTCTACAACTAAACAGTACCTTTTAAAGAATAGCACGATAGGCAATCGGCTTTTTGTTTTAAGAATTAGAAAACGTTGAATTTACTTGTCACGAAAATTCAAACTGGTGGCTCCTTCTACCCGATAGTAATTTATTTTTGAAATTCCAAAACAATTTCACAGCTGAATTTTGAGCGACTTTTAGTTTCGGACTTCTGCTCCAACGATTTTTCTGAAATTCCTCTGGCATATTTATTATATCAATTAAAGCCGATACCAGAAATTTCAGTAAAAAATATCAGCAAAATTTTTTACTAGACGCGATTTTCTTTGAACAGTAGGGTCCTTTTAAACGCTAATTTCTCAAGAAATATTTACCATCAATGAAATCGGAATATTTCGTGTTATTGCCGAATGATATCTGTTGTTCTTTGCAAAGTTTCGCAGCCATCGCGTTAATAACCAAAAAGTTATGACGGAAAATTTGTCACAGCTAAATGCTCTTGTATTAATTACGGAGCCACCTTAAGGCTGAAATCAGGGCAGTTGATAACCAATCATATTTGAGAATTTTGTTATAGTTATGATTAAATACCGTATAGCCCCGCCAAAATTAGGTACGGCAATTATACATTTACCCTAAAAGCAAGAGTTCCGGACGTCTATGGTGGCCTGGGAGTGCCATAAGAAAATTGTGTAGTATCTTGTAAGTTCCCCGTAATTTATTATGTTATTTCATTTTATTTTTAAACTTTAAACGAAAAAAAATTATTATCGAGATACTTTAAATCAAATTTAAACGAAAAAAATAGAAAGTAAAGTAAACTAATTTTAAGCAAAAGTAAAATGAAACGAAAATAATATTTCCTTGGCCTAGCAGTGCCATAAGGTTTTTTTGTTCATGGCCTATCGATGCCAGAGCCCACAATGCACTTCGCTGATCTTTTGCGTGGCTCCTAAGCGACGTTTGCATGATTTCTCTGGGCGCTTTCCATTTAGTTAAAATTTCCGGAATTTCCGGTTCGGAGGTAAATGGAACATGTTTCGTCGGTTCGTCCCACTGGAAAATTCCCAGAAAAAGTGGAAAATCTAAAAAGGTGGTCCCGTTTTCCCGGTTGGAATTTCCGAACGGAATGTCGTGTTCCATTTACGTTTCTCGTAGTTTGTACCAGTTCCAGGTCCACGGTCGGGCACCGCCACGTACCTGTGTTTACGACCAAATGGAACAACTTTTTACCGATCGGAAATTCCACTTTTGCTACCACCGAAATTTCCGGGTTTTTTCCTAAATGGAAAGCGCCCTCTGTTTCAATCATGTCGGGTAAACGTAAGCAATGGGACGACTACAAGGAGCGCCAAGGAAAGAGACGGGTAGGTGCAAAGAGCGATAAAGCTAGCCCCAGTGCATCTGAAGGCTTCTTGACTGTGCAGAGACTATCGGCAAACGTTTAAGGCAAGTGCCAAAAGTACAACCGCATTGGCCCTTTAACCCTCGTGCCGTTCGACAAAGAACCAACTTTCAAGAATATCAAAGATGCCTGTAAATCGCATTTTGGAACAAATTGCAAATGTGATGTTCTCGCGGGCGAACGCGGGCCCTCTTACACTCATGAAAGTCAGATCAAAGACTGGTCGAAGGTCATTCATATCAGATTTCTGGAATATGAAAAGTCGCAAAAAGCCGAGGAGCCAGTCTTCGTCCGGCCATTACATAAAAGTGAGCCAGTTAGCCCACGAAAGTGCGATAGTGCGGCGACAGCTGTCACAAAATCGTCTGTAATACCGCGTTCTGTCTCTCTTAGTCAAATGTTGAAAGTGGGCCAGCTTATAGAACCAGAAACAAATGTTGTCACGCTTCATCTAGAAGAATTTGCCGTCAATGAATTGAAGTGGTTAGATCCTTTTCCGGTCACATTTTCGCTGCATCGTAAGTCGTTTTCAGAAGGTGCATTTAGAGAGGCATATATGGCCAAGGCTCTATATCAGGCCTTCCTAAAGGAGATTATGTATTAAAGAAATACAAAGAAGCGTTTGCGTTTGATCTTGCATCCAGTCAGCATTCCTGGTTTGATTTACCGCCATCTTCTGTGGGAAACGTCAATACCCAAGTGCATTGTGGGCTCTGGCATCGATAGGCCATGAACAACATTTTTTTTTTTTAGAAAAACCTTATGGCACTGCTAGGCCAAGGAAATATTATTTTCGTTTCATTTTACTTTTGCTTAAAATTAGTTTACTTTACTTTCTATTTTTTTCGTTTAAATTTGATTTAAAGTATCTCGATAATAATTTTTTTCGTTTAAAGTTTAAAAATAAAATGAAATAACATAATAAATTACGGGGAGCTTACAAGATACTACACAATTTTCTTATGGCACTCCCAGGCCACCATAGACGTCAAATCGTGTTTTAATTTCATTATCTTTCTCCTACAGGACACTGCCTTGCATCTTGCAGCAAAAAATGGTCATTCAAGTCTAGTTACCTATCTCTTATCCCATGATTCTCAGAATGTGACGTATAATGCTTACAACCAGAATGCCCTGGATGTCGCCATAGAGGCGGGAAAAGAGTCAGTTGTTCTGGCCATTGCGGCGCATGGAAGGTAGCTAAACTGCGCTAACGACAAACATTGTGGTCGCACAATGCGGTTGCATAATCGAACAGTGCCAGTGCATTAGCACGGGACCATTATCAACGCTGACGCAGTAGAAATTAAAGTGCTAACACTACAAATGTGGCCCTATTAACAGAGAATTAACAGAGCTCAAGGAATTTTTTTAATTATTGCTAAAACTATCCTCTTTAACTTTACAACATAATACAACATAATAGGCGAGCCTTTTCCTAGGGCCTGGGGTTAGGATGAGGTAGAAGTTAATTTGATGGATAGTGTCTTTCTTAGGATATTAGGATATGAGATGTTTTGAGTAGTGTGATCTTCTGTAGTTCATGCATTTTAATGTTATCTGGGATCTGTTGTGTATATTTATTTTTACTACTATTTGTTATTATCATTATTATTTGAAAAAGTGGCACCAGCGTTTTAGCGAATCACAAAGCTACAACCAGTTGCAAAAGTACTTGAGACACTGTACCGTATTTTGGCATAAATGGCCTGTCCATGATCTTGTGCTTGTGATCCCCCTCCACCCCTTATCACTGGTTGCTAGCAATACAAGACCATGCTCAAAACTTGGAGGAACAACTTTGAATGGGAGGGAGGAGGGAGGTCAGTATTATATCTCACACACCTGTGACCAGGAGCGATTTGAAGCAAGAATGGTCGTTTTTCGTGGGATTGTTTCAACATTTTTGCAGCTGGTTGTAGAAAATCCTCCCCATAAACAATGGCTGGTTATTTGCTCGAACAAAGGCCTGTTATATTTACTCACGTGTGGAATAAATAGACGACTCCCATATTCCAAACGTATCTTACTTCAGTTACGTTGTTACCGATTGTGTCGTCCTAACTTTGACTACGGAAAACTAAAAATTATTAATACTGACCTAATTTCACCTTTATTTTATTAGGTGGAGGGAAATGTGTCACCGCGTGGAAGAAGGCATGACACAACTACAGCGTCTTGTAATGAAAATGCCATTAGCCGCGGAGGTTTGAATTAAGTGTTGTAAATTTTTTTATGTACTCGTACCTTCTTTTGGTAATTCTCTCTTAAGACATGGAAGTAGAAGCAAAAGCTATATCTCAGGAGAAAACGTTTCCTGCTTTTTTGATGACTATATAATATATAATCATTGTTAAGAAGTATTAAAATTATGACACCAATGGGACAGTTTCTTAAGTGAATCAGTGGAACGAAAAATAATAAGGAAAAATCAGAGACGGCCTATTGCATTTTCGAGTTGGAATCCTTCGCCTTTCCGTGGCCAATATAGCCTGCGTAGCAGGCGTCGAAAGGGGTAGGGGATAGGGGATAGGGAGGAAGGGAAAAAGGGGAGGCTATGGCCAATAATTACTCTTAAACTAATGCTTATAATTGTATAGTACTTATGTTTAAAGAGACTTAAACATTTGGTTAGAAGGACTGTTGCTAAGACACAAGGTTTTGACCACCGCAACTCGTCATTGTCATGTTCACTGTGAAAAAATACTTACAGTTGTGTTTATATGTGGAACGCAACCAAAAGAACGAGAACAACTAAGAAAAAAATTGCTAATAGATAAGAGAGAAGAAAAAATAAAGCAAAAAATTTTTGCAAACACACCTTCTAGTTTTTCCATATTTTGAGAGAATTCCCTTAACTTAGTCCTTATAAAGAAATCAGCCTTAATAATTTGATTTTCTTGTTCGTTTACAGAAATTCCTCGACAAATGTGTTGAGGAGAGCGGCGATAAAGATAAAAGTGAAGATTATGCAGTAAGTCTATCGGCGTCACTAAACGACAGAATAACTAACTTTTCCACTTTTTCCTATGCCCCATTCTCTCCAAACAACTCTTGCCTAATTAAACGTCCGCGGTTTTTCCTTAATAACTGAGTAATTGATAGATTTACTGGTCCAGTTTTTTTTCTAGCCTCGTTCCAGTCCTCGCAGTCCTTGCTCTTTCCCACTAACCAAGAGACTAGAACATGGTCGCTTTTCTCCAAATTTTCAATCAAGCAAAGACACCATACAAGTGCCACCAACAGGGTGATCTGTGCTATAGTCGCAATACTTAACGGCGTTAGAGCTTTAAATCCGCGCTCTTTGTTTTTGGAGCAGAAACGTTTCTCTAGTCGCTAAATCATTCGTACGAATAATCTATTGTTGACTTTTCGAGAAAAGGCTTGTTCCTCTTAGATGCTGTTGCAGATTCCTTGTATTTATTTAGGTAGATATTATTTCCTTAACATATTATAGTCATCTTATTATTAATGCTTCAAATCGTATAATAGCTTATAATGGAGTGATTTTCAGATCGTATTTTCATAATAGTTCATAATAAGGTCAATGATATTGTGCTTCAGCACGCCAGTTTTTGTGATGACAGTTCCTGATTCATTTTACTGTTTACAGGTAACGTACGACTTCACGTTGCTGCAAGGCATGCCGGACATTGGAAAAGATGATCCTAAGAAATATCTTGACAGTCTACATGTTAGTTGTTGTAGTGAATATTTCATTTATTGTGACCTTTTCTCTTCAACGTAATCAGAGATCGCGATCAGTTTGCGCTGACAATTTTAGTTTTATAATAATAATAATTATATTGGTAATAATAATAATAACAATAATAATTATAATAACTTTGTCTAATGAGGGTAGCACTTTACAGCGGAATAAGGACAAATCTCTGGCCCTCCCTCAAATTACAGTTAGAAGCTAATTTATTACAGATATATTTACAACAACATCCCCATACCTCCACAAAATAAACTATAATAAAAAATTTTGAACACCAAAGGAAATCTAATGGAGTAGAAAAAACAAGCCAGAAAGAATTAAAAATATAAGTAATTAACTGCTACATGATTAAAATTGTTGTCAACCGTTAGGTCTGATTGTACCAGATCACATACCTTTAATGATAAAATTAGCGCTAGCCTTTAAAAAAGCGGCCCCTTTTAGGGACCGGTCATTATTTAACGCCTGGGTAGGGGGGGGTGCGGAAGGGGGCAGAGGGGGGGGGGGGGGGGTTAAACAAGGTGAAATTTAGCTGATCCCTCCTTTGAATGCTTTTTTTTATAACTTTTTTTTTGCCACAACAAGTATGAACATACATATAGCAGTATATACTTATAGTAAAATAAAATCACACACAAAGCCATACAAGATATTTGATTTCAAGTCAGGGCATTCTACGTTTTACAAAGCAATTAAAAATTGTTGAGATGTTTCGAGTAAGCAACTACCCTCCGTTGAATGTTACTTCACTGAAGTTATACCTCTGATAACATTTGATGACTTTCGCGATCCCCCCACCATGTCTTCATTTTCCAAGCAAATTTGAGTGGCCCCCCTACGTATAGGATAAGTGCTTTATTATTATCAACAGAGCGCCTACAGACACAGGTGTTTACAACGATAACAAATATTTAGTGCAATAATGACAGTGGTGTACGTTTGTAGAATTTATACAACTATTAAATAAGGTTATATTTAACGCGTCTATCTCTTTCGCGGAAGCGATCACATACGTATTTAGCCACAATTTTTTGCATTTTTTCTCCTTGCTTCATACTTATCAACGTTGAAAAGGCAGAGCTTGGGGTCATAGAGTCAAGAGGCAAGTCGTATATCTTGTTAAAGACTTAATGACTGCTCCTGAGGGAAACAGATCAAGTTTTTTGTTTCCCGAGAATCCGCTCAATGGAGCCAAACCAAGCAGGCATAATGTACTAAAATAGTTGTGATTCTATTGACAGACCATGGTAAAATATAAACAAGTGAACTGCTTGTCACATCCAGTTACTGGAGCAATCATGAACATCAAATGGTGAGATGATATAGATGTATGCTTACAGAAACGAGCAAAAGTGTGACGTGATGTTACCATGGTAGCAAAATTTCTGGGTCTCAACAATTTTTCTTGACAGTGACGGCCATTTGCCTTGTCGAATGTCGTGGCAGGAACGTCATTCAAACATTTCAATTATTTCGTTTTTTCCTGCCGTATTTACAGGACCACGGTTTGTTGAGATCCAGAAATTTTGTTACCATGGCAACATGACGTAACGACTTCTTCTCTCTATTCAAGGCTTTACAAAAATAAATAGCCTTGGAAACATTGTTAGTTATGTTAGACAACTGAGAAAGAGCTAACAAAGGTGCTGTATGAATACTCGAATAAGGAGCAGCACCCCATTCCCCACTTGAATTTATATTAGCTATAGCGCCCACTTGAGGTAAAAATTTTTTAATTGAGCCCACCACAGCTCTGATCAGTTTTCCTCCTTAAGAAAGAAAAAATTCCTGAATATCGAAATTGACCTTATAAACGTCCACCTCCAATTAAACGCCTCTTACCTAATCAACGCCTCCCCTGCGCTGTTTAAATATTTTTAGACGCCTGTCTCTAATAAACGCCCCCTGTATAATAGACGCCCTCTATGAGAATTACTCCAATACTAGGAAGTACCTAAAAATAAACAAAATCATTCAATTCGTTTAGTTTTTTTATTGATTAACAAGGCTTTGCGTATCTCATCTTGTTCAATGCCAAGTTTAAAGTAAGGACAAACTAACAATCCTGAGCAAGGATTCTGACATCAATGTTGGGATTTGAAAGAGCGATATGGATCTCTAGCAGCCTAGACTTATTAATTGATGGAAGGGTGGATATTGCGCTATTTCAAAACTCTTTTGATATTTTTGCCGCAAGCATATTAGTTTTGTTGAGCTTCATAAAGTTATGAAAATAAAGGCCTTCCTTTTTTAAACGGCCTCCTATCTATTAAACACTCCACTTGGACCCCTACAATTAAATAGACGCCCCCGGCGTTTATCAGTTCATTGGCTCCCTTAACTCGGAATATCCTTGGCTTCACTGTTTTTCGACCGGAGCCAAGATGGCGTCTCATTTCGAGACATTTTTGGAAGACGAAATTTGAACGATAACTAAAGCAGTCAAACAAACAAATACCAAGAGAGCGACGAACTTTGGCTTGGTGGTGTTTACTGGTAGGTGGAAAATGAACACTGAACACTGAATTTGCAACAAAATCGTAAAAAATGCACTTGAAAAAATCCCCGAAATGTTTGAAAATTGTAAACAAAGTTACTGCTAAGTGACGTTTTTAATGTACCAAAATTTCCCTTTTTTGTGATTTTTATCCAACTGATCATGTGTTGGTAAATACTAAAACAACTATCCCCCTCAGGTCGGTGAACAGCACTAGATATATACCTCGACGCTTCACTATTCACCTCCCCTTCGGGGGATAGTTGAAAAAAAAAAGAAGATAGAATTAGTTATTTGATTCAACGTGTTTACTTTCAGGCGGAAAGTTGGGTGGAAGGCTTACGTCATGAATTTAGGATTTTACATTTTATTCCTTGTTATGCTGACTACTATGACCATATTACTGGAGGACAAAACACATAGAAGCTCTCTGTTGAATATACCACGCTTTACTATCGTAATAATGAGTCTTTTTCACCTGCTGAAGGAATTATTTCAAATATGGGACGAGGTGAGTAGTGGATAGAGTCGATATTTTTCCATAACCTTTTTTATCCAGCAATTTTTAGTCCCACAAACTTTAAATTTGGCAAGTAACCGGACGGTCATGGCTTACTGAGGAGTAAATTGTGAAGATGGGGCACGAAAAACGCTATTTACTTCTGCGGCAAATTTCTGATGGACGTAAAAGGCCAGACTTTTTGTGTCGATCCTCTTGAGGACGTGGACTCAGCGTTACATGTGTCCGGCGATTTTTAAAAATGTTTATTTTTACACACGAAAGAAAAGGGTACTCTCATTTGTTTCATATAGGCTATGATATGTATAAACGTTAACGAATAGCTCATCATGTCGACCCAAAAAATACTCCGACCTAGCATAAACAGCTTTCCACAATGTCACCAGGAGAGACACAGAAACCTCCCGGATAGGTGACCATCCACTTCAGTCAAGATGAGATCGGCGCGGCGCAAAGGAAAAGAGGAAAGCAGCACTAGAAACACTTAAATCACCGTTCTTACATGTGAACAAAATGGTTTTCGTACTGTCGGAAAAGCTATTCAGGATAATGTAGACATGTTCTAACCAGCAAGTTTCATCTTTTTCTTTTTCTATTTTACACTTTCCGTGCCTCTCCCGTCCCCTTGCTGCTGGGATCATTCCGCCATCACGTAAATAAACTGCCCCTCAAAGGAGGTGTATTTAGATTGAAAGGACCAAGTTTCAAACTCATTTATTAGTTCTATTCGCTCACAAATTGAGTCATTGAACAATAAGCCATCGACCTAAGTGGACAAATACGAGAAGAGAGGCCGAAGCACCGCTAGCATGCGTAGCTGGCAGAATTGTTCTCGCGCTTTTTCCATTCTCCGCGCGGCTTCGAAAGAAGCTGCTCTGCCAAAAGACACGATCCTGCCGGCTACGCATCGTCATCGGGATAAAGAATTGAACGCGGTACAAGTAGTTTGTAAAGTAGTATACGCCCTTTTATGATGGATACTGAATATTGACGTACGTCTTTTTATCTTTTTTAGAAATTCAAATATCTTTTGAAGATAGATAACTGGATGGAATGGTTTCTGTATATGACAAGTCTTGTTTACATGTTTCAATATCGTGAACTCAACAGTAAAGCCGGAACGAACACAGAGTTAAATATCACAGCTGTGGCTGCTACTGCAATTTTTATCGCTTGGGTTATATTTGTACTTTATTTAAGAAGGTAAGTTATAATTAGACGATTTCCTTTCTCCTCCACTCTCTCCTCTTAATAAGTAAAACAACAGCTTTGCTTGGCAGCAAACCTCATTGTCCATTTCTTTGCCGTCACTGCACGACTACGAAGTAAAAATGCCTAATTTTGGTCAGTCTGCCGTTTTGGTCTTCTAACTAATTCGAATGGTATTGTGAATTCTATCTTTTAGTTAATTGTTCTCGTGCGAGTAAAGCCCAAAAGTTGGCGTAAAAGCAAAGAGCGATAGCGTCCCCTAACCGGTTTTATTGTTGCCCCACCAGTTCGGGAACTGGTCAGAAGGGTTTTTATTAAGTAAAATTTGGTTTCATTTCAGGTTTTCTACGTTTGGTATTTACATTATCATGATGATGAACATTATACGAACTCTCGTCAAGGTAACGATAGTTTATTAAATTTGTAATAATGAATTTCGCAATTGTGCAACAAGTTACCTGTAGAGAGGAAACAAACTCAAGGCAATGTCAGGGACCGATTTTTTTTTTCTAACTTTTGATAGCAAAGCTTATATACTTTGCCTTTCTCTTAATATTACCTTAAAAACTGTGTTATGTAGCCCTTATGTGAATTCTTGGAGACAATTAGAGCTGATTCTTTTTCTAAACGTCTTCTGTGGTTACCTGTGATCAGGTTTTCGTTTCGCTTGCTAAATATAATCCTAGCGACCAAATGAGGGCTGTCAAAATTGTGACTGATCTCAGGTTAGTCTGTGGCCAAATTGAAAGAGGCCCGGTACATTTATTTCTAGTGTAAGAATATAGTATTAAAAAGTACTTTTCCTGTCGCGTGAACCGGAACCTTTATATGTTTTTTCATCGTTTGAAATAAACCTCGCCTTTTTTTTAGTGTCCAGTTTTTCAAGATTCGACTTTATTAGTTTTACTTAACTGTTTCTGAGATTTCCTCTCTCTTCCATCCCACAGATCATTATTTTGTTCATTCCTTTTGTGATTGCCTTTGGAATACCGTTTTACCTTTTGCTCCGCGACAAAAGTCCAGTGAGTAACCACTATATTTTACAAATGAAAGGAAAAAACAACTATCAGGATTAACACCCTTAACGATCCCAAATTGTACGAAATTTTAAGACTGGAGATTTTTTTATGTTGCGTTGACGTGTATGCACAGAAAACATAACCTTATTGATGGCTTTAGTGGAAATTAAGTCACTGCAGATTATAGCCTGCCAACAATACCTTTTCAGTCTGTCGTGTTGAGCCATGCAAGCAGGAGTGGGGAGGAGGTGCGTTAGCCTGCGTAAGAAAGGCGGACGAGGGCAGAGAAACCGCGAGGATTATTTTTCTCGCGGCTTCGCCGCTCGTGCGCCTCGGCTCGACAAAACTGCCATGCTACGCAGGCTAGGTATGCGTTTGCTTAAAATGCTCGCCCGCACGACAACCCTGAGGAACTACTAGATTTTCGCCTGCGGATAATGGTCTGCTCATGTCCAATAACTGTGATTTTTTTTCGTTTACCATTAACAGGAGGAATCGAATGAAAAAACTTATCTGTTTGAACGTCTTCCTTACTCCCTATTTACAACCTTTATGTTGATACTTGGAGAGATGAAATACCCGCATACAGTTTTCAAGTACCAACCTCTTCCATATCCTTGGATAAGCTATGTTGTTTATATCATTTTCTGCCTGTGCATGCCAATCATAATAAAGAATCTCTTGGTAAGTATATGGCCCATTAGATGTCATTAGGTATGTATATGTTGTAGTTATTTTTCTTTCATCTCAGGTACTTTCTATTTTTCCTTTCTTTCAACTTCATTAGCATACATCACTGTGCCCAAAAATAAAAAAAGGAAAGAAAAATTACCTGAGATAAAAAAATAGCTACAACATGTACACCACTGGTTATGGAGCTTTCTCACTCACGTAATCAGTAGCTATGCACATTTATTGCAACAAAAGAAAATTGTTACATAAGAAAAAGGTTCTACTCCCAGAGGATGGGTTTGCAACACCAACATGGCCGCCGTTTCACTGTTTTGGTACACAAATATTGCGGACGTGACGTCACCGAAAACGCTCTATTTGCTATTTGCACATTACATCTTGTTTGCCACCCAAACATTTTGCATAACCTTTGTTTTTAATTTCTCCTTGGTATTTCAGAGGTCTCAAGAGAAACTGAAGACAATGCTAATCAATTTTTTGGGGGGAAAGGGGGGTGAATAAGGTGTATTTAACAACTATTCCTCGAGCCCGAATGGGCTATTGACTCAGAGGCCGTGAGGGCGAGAGGAATAATTGTTTTAGTAAAATCCAACTAGTTGGTCAAAAATATCGAGACAAAACAGCTTTAGCTCGCAAAGGGCGATTCAGCCGCCATTGTTTCAATTGGTTTTCAAAGCCGGCGCTTTTAGCTGCTAATGGGCTATAACATATAGCCTAGTAGTAGCTCAACCAATCAGAACGCAGCATTGATAATAGACCACAAGTTGAATTTTACTAATATGGGAGACACCCTATGGGCGAACAGTTTTCAATATTTTTACATTATCAGCGCATTGCTTAGCCGCGAATGTTTTGAATCACTAAACACGTAAACGCAAAGCAAATGCTTTTTACGGTCGAACCTTCAACGTGTGTTATAAGCCAACTGAATACATCGATAAGATGTTTGTAAAGGAGCAGGTTTCGCGTCACATGAAAAGGGGACGTTAACTGGACTGTGAACAAAACGGAAGAAAGAGGACCATCATGAAAAATTTGTAAAATCCTCTAAATTTTACAGGAATATTATTTTCCTGTTTAAACTCATCCTACTAAATTGTGAACCAACCACGTCCTCCCGCGAGGTCATTAACTGGGGCAAGATATTATATTCGTACTCCGACATTTTGTCTTAAATTATGTTCTGTACATTTCGTTTTCAGATTGGTCTTTCAGTCGGTGACGTTAATAGAATTCTTCAATCTGCCAAAATGGAGCAACATGCAATGCAGGTTTGTACACATCAAAAATTGCGAGGATGTCAGTGTTAACCGGTTTTCCTTGTTTATAATAAGCAAGATTACTCTCTTTTAATTCCACTGCTCTTTAAGACGCTTTTCTGACAAGTCTGTGACACAGTACACTTCAGGTAATTCGTTGAATAACAGGTACGGTTACGCAAAAAAGGGCTGCGTCTACCCGCGCGAAACAAAGAGCTTAAGCAATCACAACGGCGTCGGCGACGAAAACCTCACTTAAAAAATGCATTAGTGCTCATTCAAACTTCATTGCTCTCGTTTTATCCCGTTCAATTTGACAAAGGTTGGTGAATTTTTCTGGAGTTCAGTTGTAAAGGTCTGTATCTTAGTGTAGGAAAAGAAGAAGAAGGAAATCGTTGGCCTACGTGTAGCCGCACCCTCCTCCCGACAAAGGAAAAACGGGGGGGGAGGGTGCGGCTACGCGTAGGCTAGGAAATCGTAGCCTGCGAGCAAGCTCTCGAGGGTGCTTGGCGGGAAAAGGAAGGAGAGCTTCCAACTACGTCTCTGGAATTTTAATTCCGCCTCCAATTCCCCTTTGGCTCCCCGTCGACAAAGCTGCCAGATTTCCGCCAATCAGTGCTATGCGGAAACGAGCATTAAACATTAAAAACATTAAAAAACACGTGAAAGCACGTGCCAAGGGTATTGACGTCATTACTAATGTCAGCTCCGCCAACAGCTTTTTCGCATCGACTTTTTCGATGCAGATATTCAAATTCCACAGACGTAGTTGCAAGTTATCCTTCCTTTTCCCGCCCCGGCGCCAGAGCGCCCCGGAGAGCTTGCTCGTAGGCTAAGAAAATCGTTGTCTTATGTACGCTTTACTACTTTCTACTAAACGTGAAATAGACCTTATTCACGATACCCGCCATCTTTGCGCGCGCTTTTAAAGGGAGTGAGTCCTGATAAAAGCGATGTCACGTGGTTTCTCAGGGGGCAAAAAAGTGAAAAAAATTGCCAATGCAAGAAATCATAATCCAGTTTGTTTATTTAAGACAACAGAAAATGAAGAAATTTGCATCTTTAAGACGATAGTTGCAAATTATGGGTGGAAGTGATTATTGTTACTACTTCTTTGGATTCAGTAGCGACCGTAGATGTCCTCAAGCAAAAAAAAATGACTTAAATCTTGTCGAAACTCGATATGTACATTGTGCACGACTATTACATCGTCGCCTCTTTTTGAGAGAATAAACAAAGTCGACTGCGATTACTCGCATAGGTAAATTTTATCGCTGGTTGCCCCCAAATACCACGTGACATTTGTTTTATTCCATCGATCCAAGAGCCATAATGGAATCCTAAAGCGCGTGCAAAGATGGCGGGTATCGTGAATAATGTCTAGTGGGACGTTTCTCGTGGCAATCGTTTAACTACGGCTAAAAAATCAACTAAAAGTGTGCTGCACGTGCAAAGTTGATGTTTTACCAAGCCTATCATTGCCGACGTCTTCGTCGTTGCTTAAGTGCCTAATACTATTACTACTGCCCGTTACTAAAAACGTTTAATCATCTCAATTCCGTGTCAATGTTCAGTGTTTTACCGTAATGCTCCCTTTCTTTTAAGGTCGAATTGCTTTTGGAATTAGAGCGGGCCACGCCCAGGAAAGTCCTTAGGAAAATTTGGGTCCCTTACTTCATTGAGTACCCTAACAGAAAAAGGACATGGATACAGAAGGTAACTAACCGTCTAATTTCCACCCCTCAAAGTTTTTCATCTTTTAATTAACTTATACAGATTAGAGAAAATACATTGATACCGGTGGAACGAGCGCCTCAAAATAAGTAAAGCTACCAGTTTGAGAGTTATAGAGGTTGAAAATAAACGCAAAGTAAAGGTTGGGAGATTTTATAGACTTTTTCTGTGGTGAGGGGGCAAGTTTGTGCCTCCGCCATTCACAAACCTCTGTAGGATTTCGCGGCCATAACTTGTAGAGGTGTTGATGGATTTTCGCTGACTGGATCTTTCAATTTTGTTTGCAATATTTTACATTGGAATGTATAATTTGAATCGAAACGCATCACTCAAGTTTAGAGTCTTCTCACCAAAAACATCATGAATTAACCCGACTTAGTTCACCATAAACCAGTGTCCAATGCCATCAATGGTACACAACCCTCTTTGACTCTTATGATGGCGTCTGAACAGGCTGTCAAAATGTCAGTCAACGACAGTCCTATTCATGTCAGGACTGCACTTACGCGGACGATTAAACACCTCGCCCATTTATGACAGCAATTAGAACTGGGCTCAAACCGCTGTGTATCATTCAACAGCTGGTAGAGTTGGGATCTCCTAAGAAACACACAGCCACTCAACAGACTTACGTCAATCCAGCACTGGTGCAAATAAATGAAAAGGTCACCAAACTAACGGATAAAGTTGAACTACAAGAGGACAAGTTAGTATATAAACTTTCGTAGCTATTTTTTTGTTCGTGACACGTCGATACGTAACTGAGTATTCATCAATGCAAGTACCTGGGCGTAACCAGGATTTGTGGTATCTCGCGTGTAGTCAAATTATTGAGTATCAGGGGAAGAGGGGACTTAAAACGTGCTTGACACTCCTGCGCGTTTTACTGCGACTAGCAATAGCTGCATGCTCTTTTTTCATACTAGCAGAATATCAGTTCCCAATTCAATTCAATTTATATTTTCCGCTTTTAAGTGGAAATTACTAATTAAAATTACTAATGTATTACATCTGTAACATAATCTATTAGCAGAAGTTCTATGCAAGCAGCAAGCTCAGCTGAGCTTTTTCCTAGAGGTCCCCTTTAATGTGTGCATTACAAACTCGAGTTAAATACGGTGGCCTTACATATTATTAAGCAGCAACAGTAATACACTTTATATATGTTCCACCATGTAGAGTCGATGTATTTCTGTTGAACAAAACATTTCAATTTTCTTTTAAACAACTGCAAATGACGTTATGTCCTTCAAACTATTTGGCAAACTGTTCCATATCATAGCACCTCAATATGAAACTGAGAAACGTCTATAATTAGGTCTTTCATCCTTAATTTGTACTTTGTTTTGTTCGCGGACCTTGTTTTATTGGAATGAATAGTATTATTAATTCTCCAAAAAGTAATCTGAAAAAGATGGCGGCAATTGTCCTCTAAAGTAAAAGTTTAACCCATATATTGTTAGTAAATTCAAAGAAAGGAATACAGGTCTTATTCCCTCTGCCCCTTTCAACCGTCCGTTTCAGTCTGTCGCTGTTTCCGCCTTTTCCAGCGGAGACATACATGTCTCCAGCATGTCTACTTCCTCTTCTTGTTAGCAGTTCTCTTTAATGACCGCTTGAGACTAAGTGGGGTGGGGTGGGGGAATTGTGATTTTGAATCGGTGAGTTTTTACTTCTTTCTTCAGATTACAAAACATCATTCGCCTTCTTGGAAGACTTGATCAAAGACTGACGGAGATGAGTCCTGGAGGGAAACTGCTGACTAGCACAGTGGATGGACATCAGGCAGTGACCAGAGAAACTTCGGTTAGACCTTTTCTTACAGAAAATTAGCCGTTTTTCACGACACCCGCCATCTATTACGCGGGGTAGATTTGAAGGCCGTTACTTTAGCCCGTTCAAGGCTCCGAGAAATGCGCGAAAACCGTGTGGGGGCAGGGAAGAGACAGGGTAGTGGAGCCTGTGAGCACTATTTTTAATACTTCATCTTGGTATTACCCCCTGACTGGTCAATTTTGACAGTTTACGTCAACACTTAGGTCAATCACTCGGCTTCTCTCGCGCAATGCCAAACAAACATGGGTAATTTACCAGGAAGAAAACGTACGGTTTGGGCCGTAAAATGAACGAGTTTGTTGCAGCTAGCAAGAAATCCCCAATCTTTGAAATATTCAAATTGAGGGCCCTTTATTTTAAGATCGCTTCTAGAAAAAAAATGGCGGAGAAGATGTTTGAACAACAACAACAGCAGCAGTAGCAAAGCAAAATTTTAAATCAAAATTATTTAATGAGGGCAGTGCACGTTAAGTCACAGACATTTTTATTATTCGATTCTTATCGCATCAATGGTCTTTTTTTGAAGGGGGCTTCGCTCAGGGGTTTCTCACCGGAACGTCAGCCTCCCGGAATCATGCGGAGGCCATCCATGGTAAGAACTTTGCATTAATTCAATAAATTGCATTAAATATTTGAGGGACCGCTATTCTTTAAAGAGACTGACTCGGATTATGCATGGTCCTTTTATTACGATTTTTGTTGGTGACAGTGGTGGTTTTGTTGCTCACGTTACTGTTTTTCTTTGATACGTATTTTGACTAAATCTAAGGAGTAGAGGTTGAGTGATTTTTACTAAAAGGGCAACAATTACATAATGTTGAAAAACTGAAACTACGAATATTTGATAAAATTAAGTGTGGTTAAATAAAATAATGACAGTATTTTACTTTCCGTATGTCTATTGTAGGAATCCACCGTTTGAGGAGTCTCGGCGTTCTTCATGAAACCATGAAAGATCTGCCACAGAAAAGTGGTACATTCGAGATTACAAGGCAATAGCTGCTACAACTCAGTAAATGGCTGGATTTTGATAACTGAGTTTTAGTTTAGTTCCGGGGGGACTGCAAAAGCGGATACCTCCGACATAACTGACCGCCGTATCGTCATCATCATCACCATCCCAGTGATTATCGCCATTATAGTTGCCAGTCATTTTTTATTGTCACGCAAGAGTTTTAATTAGTGTAATGTCTCATGACAAGTTAAGGCCAAGCCATCAAAGAAAAATTTCCCAGTCGTTGTTATTGAAAGTGTTTTTACCAAAAGGGAAAATTCCGCAACCCAAAGTCAAACCTGGGCCTTTTCTATCCTGACATCTCTCCTTTACCACTACACTATTAAACCCACCCGCCAAAACTGTCTTTCATAACTGATATTTCATTGATAGGTGACCCGGCCTAGTCCTTTCAATTCAACTTTCCCCTTTTTCTTGCTAATACTATTTCAAAAATGTAATTTTGCCTTATTTTAACTTAATCGAGAGCCCATATTGCATCTTACGTGGTTAAAGGCAAGGTTGTCGATGATCGTATCGACCTTAAAACATGGCAAAGATGAAGCCATGAAAAATGCTTTTTAGTGTTTTATTAGCTGAAAATCACAAAATAATTAAAAATGATTTGTCGTTTTATAGCCTCACGACTTATTTTGATGAGCATCTTTAATGTAAATATCACTCAATGCGGAGAGATTTGTCCATAGTGTATATATTTAAATCTCTACATATTAGCTGTGAATCGCTTTCAAAAAATATTGCTGCCACAAATCCCCTTCCATCAACAAGGCTTGGTAGTGAAATTTGCTCATGTTGAAGTAAACACGTATAAGGCCTATAAGTTTAAATAGATAACATTTCAATTTCAGAGATATTTATAACTTTCTATGAGATATGAAGGTCCTAACTTGCTTTTTATTTCAGCAGGCATGTCAGAAAATAATGAAAAATAAAATAAAGTTGTAATTTAATTTTTTCTCGTTGTTTTCCTTTTGTTTACCGACCCAGATCCAAGGCAGCACTAAACTCTTTCAAGCAAGATGCTTTGCTGTTTCTTTTTCTTTTCATCTCCAATCCATTAAAATAATCTTCTTTGCCGCGTGTAGAATATCTTTTATATCTGTAAGCATAGCAGACAAACCTTTCCTTAGGGATAGCAAATATATATAGGGGATTGCGCGTAAAAATGGCCTCACGGAAGGAAGAGAGAACTTAAGAGACTTTTTTCACGCGTGCGCTTATAGCGCGTTTTTCGGTCGCTAACTTGAAGGAAAATAGGGTATTACTCGTATTCTGTGAGCACAGCCATACATAAAACCAGGTCAAACGACTGTTTTAATCTTTAAATAATGCTTCACTTTACTTGTACCGCACAGGGTCTGTAAAAAGAGGGAGCTTTAGCATCCCCGACTGACGACGAAGTCAGTGAAAACTCACGGTATATTTAATGGAGTTGCCTTCTTACACGCTATATAGTGTTTATTTAGTCTGGCTCAATTTGTTAAATGGGGGAGAATTTTCTTCATGGCATTGATTTCTTTTGGAACGGCATCCAAGCTCTGAGTGAAAAAAAAAACGATTCCTCGTAGAAGTGTGTTCTCGTCCCCCATAAAACGTCATATTGGGACGTTTCACGTCGTTGTCGGGCAGTAGACTGAAAATCAGTTTGTCTTTTTGTACGTTTTCTTTATTATTGTCGTCGTAAATAGTTAAGCTCCCTATAAATGTAGCACCAAGAGTCACCATCTCTGCAAAATAATAGGCCAAAAGCACTAGACCATTTACATGGGAAAACCGGAAATTCCAGTTGGAAAACAAATGGTTCGCGCCACTGAATCCGTTTGGAAAGCTTCAGAAAATATGGGCTGTGATTGGTGGCAATGAAAAATTTCTATCCTTTTTAGTCTGTTCAGCTGATTTTGATTTACTTTGTAGCGGTTCGTTCTCCCGCCAAGTCCATTTTTTTTTGTTTTATGTTTATGCACGAGATTTCCACCCACAGGTGGTTTGTAAATTGTAAGCACCCAATTTTGTGATGGTCCCGTTGTAAGTTCAAACTGTACAGAATGTTTTAAGACGCTTTTTCATGAATAAATATTATTAGTAAAATCCAACTAGTGGTCTATTATCAATGCTTCGTTCTGATTGGTTGAGCTACTACTAGGCTATATGTTATAGCCTACTAGTAGCGAAAAGCGCGCGCTTTTTGGCGGCAAAAAGGGATTTACGTCTAGCTTTAACCAGCTAAAAGTTGTTTTGACTCCATATTTTTTACCAACTAGTTGGATTTTACTAAAACAATTATTCCTCTCGACCTCATGGCCTCTGAGTCAATAGCCCATTCGGCCTTCGCCCTCATGGGCTATTGACTCAGAGCCCATTCGGGCTCGAGGAATAATTGTTAATTAGTTTTTGTGAAGAAGAAAAAGATTACGATATTTAGAATTTTTTTGAGTTCAATAATCAATTTAAACGTTAAATAACTGCTAATAATGAGAATTACAGCTGAGTCTATGAATGTAAACCTAAATCCAAATGAAGGGATGCCGACTACAAAACAGTTGAATCAAATTTAAACAATCTGTTCAGATGTTTTTCGCCTTTTCTGTTGTTAAATTTACTTTTTCAACATTCAAGAAAAGGCTTCCTTACAATGAGACGGCAAATTATGTTAATGTGATATTTATGTACTGTTTATAGAAATTTATAAAATCCGAACCTGTGATCCAGTTCGGAAATAGTTCAGTTGAGATACGGTGGGTCATTCAAGATGGCAAAGTCCTACACTGTTTTTCTTCTCGCTGTTATCACTGGCTGTATGGCACAGTTTCCTGGTGAGATTATTACTATTTTTTTCAAGTGAATCTCAGTCTTCACAGTTTTGTGATTTCTTATGAACATCGACTACAACCCGATTTAAACTTTATTCAAGACGAAACGTTTTGAGTATGTAACTTCACTTTACTGAAATCTGTTTTTGAGTTTGTTTTATGTCTGAGTATTCAGAATATTTTTTCGTAAGCTCACTTATATACTCATATTTGGCATCATTGGGTCCTCAGTCATGCAGGAAACGTGTAGTATTAAACGGCTATAGTATCCTTCTCGCCTAGTCCGCTCGCCATCATTATAGCGCGCGGTCGAGTGGTCCCAGCGAGTTTTTGGCCATTCGTCTCGGATATGTCACCGAAATGTATTGACCGAGAAGGCCTGGCAAGACGCTGTACATAGGCACGTATCCTTCCACTTACCTATGTAGTTGGAGCCAACAACTGATATTCGGCGACCCTTCGGCTGCGGTAATTCGTATGCAAAAAGAGCGTGGAATTTGTTCTATCACTAAAACCAGTGACTAGAATATTTTGCTGCATGCCGTTAATATCTAATCGCATCATTTTTGTAAATTTCAGTACTTTTAATTCAATTTAATGTTGTTATACATCTTGTCGTCTTCTTTGCCAGGCCAGGGTAACAAATACTACGGCTCGATCTGTGAGAATAAGAAAGGAATTCTGCGTTGCCCAGGAACCCAAACCATTACAGTCAAGTTTGCGAACTATGGCAGAACTCGATTCTTTAAGTGTGGGATGGGCTTTAACACCAAATGTATCTCTGAAACGTCTCTTAAAATAGTAAGTATATATTTGAATGTATATTTGGGTTTCTCTTGACAGCCCGGTACAGGATTAGAGACTCGGCTTAAGTTATAACATTTCTCGACTTAAGGGTCAGTGGAAATGAGATGTTTGTACCCTGTTACTGCCGTAAATTCACGAGTAGATTACCTCTTACCCTGGAGAGGAGAATGAGCTGCCTGGTAGAACTTTGTTACCATTATCAAGACTAAATCTCGGTTGTTGGAGCACTGATCTAGGGACAGAGCCAATACTGGATTCCTTGATCACTGACAGAGCGAGGCATTACTCAATTTTAATTCCTTTGTTCTATCCTGTCCACAACTTGATCCCTGGAAACTGAATATTATCTGCCAGTTTTGAGATTCAAAGTAAGCTGAATTATTGTTCTTAGGTGAGTAATCTGTGTAACGGCAAAAACAGCTGCGTTCTACACGCCTCAGATGATGTATTTGGTGATCCGTGCTCTTGGACTAAGAAGTACCTCGCTCTCTACTGGGAATGCGACTGACGGTAATTATAAACTATAGAGAATCTTATGTTTACGATCGAAGCATATTACTCCTTACCACTTCAAAGGAGAGCACCTGGGAAATTTTAGAGCGGAAAAACGATATTATTTCCCATGCAGAATTTTTCTTGCACAGAATGAGGTTTCCCATTTTATATTTGTTTGAAAAATAATTAGATTTTAACATCACCTTGCTGTTTGGAGGCTACGAACTGCTATCAGGGCAGCCAAAAATGCATGAGAGTCAGAGTACATAGAGGATATTACACGGTGGCGCGAAGATATGAATTTTATTTCGAGTGGCAAAACAATATTTTACGAACGAGCGCAGCGAGTGAGTAAAATATTGTTTTTGCCACGAGAAAATAAAATTCATATCTTCAAGCCACCGTGTAATGTCCTTTTTATTATATAGACGAAATGACATTGATAAAATAACAGAGGGAAATGACCGAAATTACGTCATCGATAAACTCACGTGTGAGATCATGGAAAATAAACCACGCGGGCCCTGGATGTAGTTTTTATGAATTTTACGAGTGGTATATTTTCCAGTAAAACACTCGTGTCTATATAATAAAAATGAATAACAATTGCTTCTGCTGTTGCTGTTGCTGATATTGTTGCTGTTTTTTTTTTTTTTAATTCATTTTGTAATACATTTCATTTCTAATGTTTAATTTTGCAGAGCTTAGAAGAAATAAAGCAAGCGAGGGATTTTTTCCCCCGAAAGTTCACGTTTTAAAAAATAAAGTTTGCAAATCTTAATAAATTATTCAACCTGTCGCTTGTCTTTTTTCAGTTGTTTCTCCTATCTTATTTGATCGTGTCTTTTACCAATGATTAGGCTGCGATCTTAATTTCCCCTACATCTCTCTCTCTCTCTAAAAAAAAAACTTATCGCCGGTTAACCAATGATTACATTCTGTCCCCTCTGAAAACAGAAAGCGCGTGTGAGATCTAGCGATACAGTGTATCGATATATATCCCTACTGACAACGACACGCGCCTCTTGAGAGCAATCGTGTTAAACATAATTTCCATTTGGAATGTAAGGCGGAGAGCAGCTGGCAAGTTATGCCAGGAGCCCTGGGTAGGCAGATAACTCCATTGACACCCATATAAATGGAGAGTCTATTGAATTTATATAAATCGTTTACGGCGTTTTCATTTGGTACTAGGCCTACTGAGTCCCAGCCCTTTTAACTCCTTAAACAGAGCTTTCCTGATAAACAAAAGCCTCTCATGATAAACATTAAAGCATGCATGCATAAATTAAGCAAAGCAAGCCACCACTTCCCAAGATGCAACAATTTTGCATAATTTATCCCCCCATGTAAGTTTTGCTCGTGGAATCCGAAATATTGGGTTTTGGAATCCGGAAAACAGTTCATGGAATCCGGAATTCCACTAGCGATTGGAATCTGAAGTCCAAGTTCCACCGTCAAAGTCCGGCGTGGAATCCAGAATCCAACACCGTCTTGGACACCCTTTCATGGGGCAATATGTATGATACTGATGGTAAAACCACAAACTGAGTGGCGACAAAGCAACAAATCAACAGACGTAGTCTTCATTTTAGAGGACAATTCTGATAGATTGGAGACGTCACTCGTATTTAATTTTAAAACAAAACCTAGCTCATACGATGCTCTATCTTAAAATTTATCGTGTTACGACGGTACGCTACCTGAGCGGACTAGAATCAAATACCGTTCGTTTCAAATGAGGATGAATTGCGGCCAAGCTTGCGTTTAATCCCATATTTAGTTTCAAGGATGCAATTATTTAGCCAGTACTTTAATTACTGCGGAAGACTTTGTACAGCTGATAAGCGTGTTTAGCGAACTTTCAAAACCGTTCACAAGCAGTGAAGTGGAATGGGAACAGCCCAAATTCAACATTTGTTAACGAGGTCATGTTGATAGAGGTAAAAAATGACATTTCACAGGTACTTCCAGTTAAAAAAGAAATTCGTTTTCATTACTCAAGATTTATTTTTGTTTGCCACCCATCTTTCCTTTAGAGTACACATCTGATCTGAGTGACCGTATTAACGAAGTGAATTGATAAATGAAAGACTATACCCGTTTGGATTTCACAACCTAGTTGCATTGGTAATTTAACGACGGAGGTGGCTGCATCAACAGAGTTCTCTTATAAGAAAATGTACGGCCGTTACGCGGTGAAAAATCAAAGTGACCATTTTTTGATAATAAAGAGACGGCGGCTATATAATTAAGGTAGCCGCATGGCAAGGGCCAGGTCTGAGCCAACTGATTCGTTTCTTAAATCTCGCACTTATTTTAAACTACACCAGAAACATAACATTTAATGCCTTTATTAGTTAATCAAACTTCAAAAGAACATATTAACTGCGGGTACTGTCAATTAAGTGCCCAACTGAAGTAAAGGAGCATTATGATAAATATACAAAAAGTACTTAGTATAAAAATATCGCAGATTGAAATCTAATTAGATTATAAAGGTATTAACTGAGAAGTTTTATCGTAAAGAGAGTGCCGTGGTGAGTGTTTCAGAAAAACAACCTGCCTGAACAGCGGGCAAGTTGACGCTTTATAATGAAAGAGAAAAGCTAGGCTGCCTTGTCTGCTTTTGTCCAGCTGAAAAGTTTGTATGATTTGCTTAGTATTACTAAGAATAAATGGAACGACGATTGAAAGAATAGAATAAGGTTTCCTAACATGATGAACGATTTAGGCAGCAGTATTTTCTTCATTGCCAGTATTTCCTTCACTACTTTCCACCCCAGCTCCTGTAACAGTAAAAGAAAAGAAAAAAAGGTTGTAATTTATTAGTTATTTTATGGTATAATTTACTCGAGCAATATATTTTCACTTAACTGGTTATTTGAACATTTAAGGTATATTTCCATCCTGAACATAATGCGTTTGATCATCGGCTAGCCTCATACATTTTAGCAATCCTATGCAAATATTTGATGATAAAACGTACAATAATTTTAACCCTCTGAAGTCAAGCAATTTCATTACCCCTCCTGCCCCACGGTGTTAAAAAAAAGTGGATGTTGTTGCACTTCCCTCCCCCTCCTTAGGTTTTTGGCGTGTTAGAAATTACTGTAATTTGTTCTTTATAGTTAGTGACGAGCTCTATCAAATGAGGGGCTGACCTGCAGTTTCATTCAAACTAGATTCCATATTGGCAACCACTAGGTCTAATCACGAGATACTACAAGTTTTCAGAGACGTTGCCAAAGGAAGCCAAAATTTGCCCAAATGTTGCGATGTCAAAAGTTGCTCCTATTATGTTTGTATATATGTATGTAGCCGGATTTTTCATAACGTTATCGCCAAATAGACCTTTGCGACCAACAGTTTTTTTCGGTCAAAAAAGTAGCTATTATAAAAACTAAGAGTGTAACGATTGCTTTTTTCTCTTCTCCTCCTTTCCTTCTCCTCGCTTTTTCTTTTTCTCCTTTTCTTTTCCCTCGTTACTTTGATTTTGGAGCTTCTCGGGCTCAAGAAAAGTGTCCTTTGACGCTTTTTCACGTAAATGACTGCAAATTTCGTTAGGTTGGTTTTCAAAAAATCGGCTAGATATACATGTATATTGTATTATATTGCCGATCAACAACCTTCCTTTTTTATAAATTTCTTGTTTTCTTAATTTTCATCGACTTCTTATGGTAAGAGGGCATGTTTCGCACTTCCCTAATACCCCTAGCCCGCTGAGAAAGCCGATCCAGCCACTTCCATGCATGGAGCTTTATGCTACTTTCTTTGAATATAAAAGTCCTAACTTGTCTGTCTTTTTGTCTAACAGAAAGGAAGAAGATTAAGTGGAATAATCGTACCTCACATGTCTAAAAATTATTATTAATAATAACAATAATAATAATGATAAAACATCAATAGTAATAATAACATCAATAACAGAAATATATTAGCAAAAGCAAATATTACCTTGACTGAATTCTTTCAAGTTTACGTAATCCAAGTCTGAACAGGCCCTCCTTTTTTGGCCAAATCTATTCTCGAAAACCCTTTCATGAGTGAAGGTCACGCCGTCGAGATTGTCACACAAAATCCTAGCCATGGAAGATTTTCTTATCTCGTCCAACTGAGTGATCGTAAACCCCGTCTGGTGGTCATCTCTCTCATACCAAAATCGGTCACCATGGCGGAACGCAGAAAACTGCTTTAGTAAAATCGCTGTAAACACGCTGCCCAGCCGACTTCCTGGAGCAGGCTTCTGTGTTATGCCGCCCATAAATATATCAATATCTTTGACATTTTTGTATACCAACTGAAATTTGGTAATCTGGCTTTGGGAGAAAGTGTCCAAAAGATCTGAAAACTTAGTGACTTGTCCTAAACCTAGTGCCTCTAGGTACTTGGTGAAGCCCGGTAAGCCATGATCCCGACCACGCTGACAATTTATGGCAGGAAGATCACCAACAATACCATCAGGGGTGGGTCCTTCGATGATGAGTTGCTCGCGTACGATGTTAGAAAAGAACCTATAAAAGGAATATGACTCTATAAGTGGCTTAAAATCGATGGAAAAGGGGGAAATAAAAATAAAAAAAGAAGCAAGAAAGAAAGAAAACAAAAGAATAGCGAAAGACTTGAGAAAAAAAATCTTGACAAATGCTTATTGTCCCTCCACCAACAAGGCTGAAGGCTGAAAAGAGAGTCGTACCGACGAAAATGGCAATGATATTATGACAATAAGAATACAGATAAAAATACTTCTAACTCTCTCTATTAAGTCCCAGTCCCCCTTTTTATCAAGCTCCCCCTTTTTAACGAGGTTCTTATAACGATTTGACAAGTACTGGGCTTTAAAAATTTGGTAGGATAACAGGATTTAAGAGAATACAGTGTAATTGGCGAGATTACTTCGATTGGGAAATCAAAACATAGTGAAACTGACTGACTTTACCTTTGATAACAGGTGCGGTTAACGCTATTCAGACTCAGCCACCCCTCCCTAAAAAGTTAAATAGCTTCAAAACCGTTCAAGGTACGACCACCAAACTTGGCGACTTTTCCTAAAAATTATCTGGAGACATTTTATTTAGTAAAGTCATCTCGACGCTTACGTCAACATTATCATTACCACGGCAACCGAGTTTTGACAGCCATGTTTTTCAAATTTACTCTTTTCCTACGAAAAAAGATTTATTTTTATCTTTGCTAATTGTATTTTAGAATTACGGTTAATTTAGCAATATTTCATTAAATTCATTATAACTGATGGTGTAATCCAGTCTTTTTAGAAACTGATTGGAGAAAAAACGTGAGTGACGAAATGGCAGATTCTGGGTCTAATTTTTAACAGAGATAAATTCCCTCGGAATTTCATAACTTGCGGATTTTTTCTGCTTTTTAAGCATTCTTTTATACACAGATAAATTTTTCTGTAACGACTACCTCGATTTATACGGATTTTTAAGGAAAGTGGAATATATTTCAACAATTCGAGATGAGTACATTATTCTGTGTAATTTGGCGGCCGTATCATGAGCAGTTTTGAAGTTATAGAGGGGGGGCTCCCGGTCACAGGAAGCAAAACAAAAAGGCCCATTCTGAATAGGGTTACACTAGACCTTTTTCCCCCCTGAGCTTTGGGTTCTAATAAATATCGTGTTTGCGGTTACACGTTGATAACTTGTAATGCCCAAGGGGAAAACAACTTAAACACGATTTCCCGGTTTAACGCCCTTTTCTACCGTTTTTTTCTTTTCACTCTTAATAAAACCTCCATACCAGTTACGTTTAGCGATAGTGATTCAGCGCTTAATTTTGAGACGACAACAAAGAAGGCGTTGAGTTCATTCACGCGTTGTCCAGTGCCATTGCAGCTTTTCTTTTCTTTTATTTAGAACCGGCACGTCAGATTGTCGCTCGCCAGCCAACGTACAAGTCACCAAAACTGGTTCCAACTTTTTTCTAAGGAAAGAATTCTCTACTACTGATGCAACGAAAGCATCAAAGTGTCTGGAGGTGATTTTGAATGATTATTAAGAGTAAAAACATTGACACTAGTGCTCGAAATCCCGCAGTGAGTGTCAAACGTTTTAAAAGTGTATTGCGGTGCAGTTAGGCTTTGGCACAGAGGGGAACACGGCACGTGAACAGCACGTAACTTCTAGTGCTCTGAATATCTCTCTGCCTCTTGACTGTCTGAGCTGCTTTGGGTTCTTGTTGACCCATGGATTTTTCATGGGCAATTCTGTAGTTCTCTTTTTTTACCTATCCATAGAAATTTCCTGGAGGCAACTTCAACTATGGGAAGATCGTTCACAAAAAAACACTCTCCCTAGTGGACAGTAGCCACACCCCCCCCCCTACGTAGATGTCTAAAACAAGCCCAGTCTAATTAACGTTAAGATAATTTATATGGGTCCTATTCTTACTTGTCAATAGCCCGAGCTTGTACTGCAGTCAGCCCAATCAAGATTCTTGATACAAAGCTGAGTTCGTTTTTATTGAAGAACCTCACTGGGTTAAAAAAATCGACTTTAGGCTCAATCTGTTCTAAAAATGGACTAATGGTTCTATCACGCCCTCCAAACCGTCTAAAAAAGCCGTCTCCTGTCCTCAGCGTAAAAGTAGGACGAATCAGACTGTGACCCATTCTCAGAGCAGCTGTAGAGAAAACGTTTTTGCATTCCGGATTCACATTGGGGTCATATCCGGTGAAGAATGTTCCTTTAGGATTTAGAAGAACACCAAATTCTTTTCTCTGAAATAAATATGTAAGAATATTTTTTAGATGCGCTTTGTTGTATTAAATGTGTCAAGGATGGTGCATTAAATGTAAATGCGCTCCCCGGCCAGCGATGTACGTAGTTGGTTAATAAGTTCAAATCATAGAGGACAAATTCATGGTCTACACATATAATTTATATTCTCTTTAACCCCAATTGTAACATTCATTAATTATCCATCAAAGTTATAACCAATTAATTTTTATATGTAGTATGTGAATCACATGTACACCTCTGTAAACCCTAATACAAATCAATTAGGTTGGTGAATTTTTTAACGGTAGAATTAACTTTTGATTCAAACTCCAGCTCAGCTAATTAGTATTTGTTTATTTGTTTTGTATTAATTAGTTTTTGACAAAGATCTATCTACTAACTGTTTCATTTCACAAGTTTTATAAGATATTCACGTCCGATCTGTATGGGTTTTACAGTGGTTCTTTTTTGACTTGCCATCGTAAACTGGCCCATAAAGACCTCACGCTCATAGCAGAGCCTCCGCGCGCGAAGTGCGCTCGGCGAAGCCTTCATTGCTGTAGAAAGTGGAAACCAATCGATGCCAGAAAATTTGCTTATAACGTCAGCGTACGACCGACAACCAATAGGGACTGGCAGGGAGGGACTAAATAGATTCTGCAAAGGGAGGGGACGGGGAATCCAAGACATGCATCTTGTGTTTGTCTTGGAGAAACGTTAAGCAGTTTTCATAGCGGCAGGCAATGAAGTTTTTCCAGTAAAGATATTGAATTTCGTTTGTTTGACTTACGAGAAAAAGCTTTTAAAAATATAGTCTTAAGGATGTGTGTTTAGCTTAGTCACGCTTTTTTAAAAAAATTCCACATAACTGTTCCATTCCGAGCCCGATAGAAAGAAAACATAATAAACTTATGGCGAACACAAAAGTCGGCCCGATTTCTTTTATATTAGGGAGCTTTAGCAACGATGAAGGCGAGGGCAACGAGAACGTCAAAAAAGCAATAGTTTATAAAGAAAAACAACAACTTTGCACGCGCGTCACGCTTTTTTGTACATTTCTAAGTGGTCACTACACGACTACGACGTGAAAATGTGTAATTGTACGATTTATGGAGGACGTAAATAAGCGACGACGAACTTTTCTTTGTCTTTCTAAACTTGAGTGCGTTCCCAAAGAAATCAGTTCCTGGAAAATTCACCTACAATTGGTATTTTAAGCGAATTGGCAAACGCGACAAAGTTTGAAAATTGGCCGCTACCAAAGAGTATTAAGACGATTTGTTTTTTTGCTTTAAACATAAGACTTTTAGATTAATGGGAGTTTTCATTTCAGGCGTGTTTGCGGGATATTTTAGGAGAATTCTTTTTAGTGGCCTAGAGTTTATTATATTATAAGTTTATAAAACGGAGGCTTCGTTTTTAGCCCTGGCTAAATCTATATATTATTTTATCTAGTATTTAATGATAAGCACATTTATTATATAGACACGAGTGTTTTACTGGAAAATATACCACTCGTAAAATTCATAAAAACTACATCCGGGACCCGAGTGGTTTATTTTCCATAATCTCACACGTGAGTTTATTGATGACGTAATTTTGGTAATTTCCCTCTATTATTTTATCAATGTCATTTTGTCTATATAATAAAAAGAACATTACACGGCGGCTTGAAGATATGAATTTTATTTTCTCGTGGCAAAAACAATATTTTGCTCACTCGCTGTGCTCGTTCGTAAAATATTGTTTTGCCACTCGAAAATAAAATTCATATCTTCGCACCACCGTGTAATATCCTCTATGTACACGTTGGACCAAACGTTCAAACAGAAAGATAGAAAAAATGAAATAATAATAATAAAATTATTGGTTGACTAGTCTTTGAATTCCTTCACCGTTCACAGTGATATTTAACCACTGCTGTTTGTTGTTGTTTTACATAGCAAACCAGTTTAGAAACTACTATCAACTGAACAAGGCTCAACTAGAACAAGTGTCCTCACTAGGAGCAAACCTAAAGAATTAACTGCAAATAGCTTTAAAATGTAATATTCCTCCTAAAACTATTAATAAGCTATTGGTACGCCAATTATGGTAGGGAAAGGTAAAGTCCTTACCAAACTTTCATCGAATAAAACTGGAAGCCACTCATTGTAGGTGATATGTTGAAGTTCTGCTATTACAATCTTACGCGCCTCTTGAAACAGTGTCTCGTCATCCGCGTAGGGACGGAGTAATTTCAGGTTTTTTGCTATACGGTTGTGCTCGCGCACCCACAAAGTGTGCATCGCCATGAGAGCTATCAATAAAAATACGCAATGGTTAGTCTTAAAATTCGCTAGCTAAGGGGCGAGTTCTGAAACGAAACGTCGACAATTTATTAATTATAATAGTATTAGGGGATGACATACGCGTTTGCCAGAGGGTTAATAGATGTTCAAAATCTTTGTCAATTTATAGATTGCTTGCAATCTGCCTTTTGTCTTAAAATCCGTCTAGTTCTTATCTCATGCAGCGCATTCCAAACCACGACGTTATTATTACGCCCTCGTTTCAGGCGGTTCCCGGCTTCACCGCTGGCGTGCTTAGGTTTGCTTACGTTACAGTGCAAATTGTTTCTGGTGTATCTGGCGTCATCATTCAAATAAACATGCCAGGTGCATATTATTAGTTTCACTACATCTTGCTCTTCTCCTCATTTTTCTTTATTCTTAGAAGTTGTTGAAAAGAATATGGAAGAAAAGAGAAAAATGAAATGTATAAAAAAAAACAACAAATGAATAAATGGACAAACTATTAATAGTGGGAGGAAATTCAATACGATGCTATTTCCAATTTTTTTAGATATTAAGGTTATCTTGGATTTTTTTTCTGGATTTTTACTAGCAAAAGGTCAAGGAGGACTCCAAGGCTTTCCTACCTTGATTTTCATTAACTCGAATATCGCCAGCAAGAAAGCAAGGTTTTTCTTCTGGATTAGGAGATCTACAAAAAGCTTCTTCAGCAGCATCCGGAAGTCTTGGTCGGTCTCCAACGTTCCTTAGTGGCACCACATCCAGAAGTCCGTGGCCTTTGGGGCTTCGAAGTATTCGAGATACTTCTTCGCTTGATCCGTACACTTGTGACCCATCCATATAAGAAGTAATAATATTTATCTGAAAAAATGATATTAATAATAATAAATCGTTACTATATGCCAACGCGTGAATGATGCTTTCCTTGCGCTCTGTATACCTTTTCAAGCTCTGGAATCCTTTGTCTGTACTAAATTGTCATGTGACTTTTCCCGCGCTTTTTTTGGTCGCCCACACAAAGTAATGTCATTCAAAAATATATTCTTTCCATATAAGTACTAACTGCCGATAAATTTGCTAGAAATTTCTTCTAAAAATAACTCCAGCTTTGATCTGTATGGTTTTCAGTCTTTTTAAGGCTCTTAACTTTCGCTTTTAGTAGTCAATTCTACTCCAACTTGTTTTTAAGGCATCTCCTGTCCGGATCAGACACTGATTCTGGGAAACGATATAAGAAAAAGGATCTACTCAGTGTGTCCTATGGACAAGAAAAAGAAGAATACTCTACTGACCTGGTTACCATCATTGTTTATCAAAGACCTGATGAGAGGAATACACTGTGCACTTTGGTTAAAAAGAAGTTCTTCACCATTCGGGATTTTTATGTTAGTACAATTAGGAATTTGTTCACATGGTGCATTGTTAATCCCACATTCCGTGTTTGGAGTCAGCTCTGTTAAGGTGACATCGTGATCTATGAATTGTCCCCAGGTCATTGTCAGGTGGGTAAAATTTACAGCCTTATCGTCGCTATTCGCAGTATCATTGTTCCTCAAAGTTTGAAAGCTAACTTTTCTGCAATTTGTGAGTTGCTTAAAATCAACTCCCAAACTTCGTGGTGCTGTACTTCCGGGAGGTCCTTCATAGTCGGAAGGCACTAAACGCACCAGTGGTCTTTCCGCGGATCCTTGAGTTATGTTGCACAGGTTGTTGCATGTGCCGTCGAATGTGCGATATTTGCGGGATAGGCATGCAAAAGCCGCTTTAAGGGGGCTTTCGCAGTTTTCCCTCATCTTCAGTATATCCAAAGTCTGGTTGGCAGCCGCAGCAGAAGACAATGCTTGTCGGACTTCATACGTGCTGACAATCACAACAATGCATACAAGAATGCTGAAATGAAACAATTAACAACAGCAACTTTCAGTTATTTATTGACCTTAGTTACAAGTAAACTGAATAAATGCGTACAGAAAAGTGCAATAGCAAAAGCTAATCGACGCGGTTGGGTACTATAATTAAATAGATTATTAAAAAGGTACAGGATAACGAGAAAAATGACAATAATAAGAAGATAGAACGCAATAAATGACACACAAAAAGGGAAACAGAAGCTAATTAAAGTATTTATGCTTCAAAGAAAAGATAAATTCGCTAATAAAACATGAGAGTCATGAACGTAAAGGCATACAAGAAAAATATTTTTTCATCCTTTTCATTTCCATTCTCATACACCAGTTTAAAAATGACAAAACAAATTGACGTTAAGGTTAAGGTTCACTGTTGCCTGTATTGGCACAAATTTAGGTGGGACATGGAATATGATAAATTAAAACAAGTTCCATAAGGAAACCACAGAACTTCCTTTTGTCTTCTTAAAAAATAGATTGGTGATTGTTGACTTGTCTTGAAGATCAAAGATGACGTCAAAATGACGATGTAGGAATAAGAAAGTCACAGTCACGTGAGCAGCATACTGTCCTTTTTGGCAAAAACTCCTGCTAAACTTTCCTCGAGGCCTTCACTAATCAAAAATAATCTCATGAAAAGTGTAAACTTTTCAAAACTGAGTACCATTTTGGACGAAGTAAAGGAAACAGTTTTTCTGTGTCGTCAAACTTATGTCTGTTCTCTGATAGATCAAAGGCAACTGCTAAGCATAGATAACAGCTCTCGACCAATAAGCCCGAGAAATCGGATAGTTATTGAATGAAGAGGTTTGGTACCCATTCGGGAGAAGAGCCTGATAAATGTGTGGTCGGTGAAAAAAGGGTTGTCCGTGAGGTACGTTGCACTGGGAAGATTTTGAGGCTTGAAAAGGTATCAGTAAACAGAAAATTTAATTTTACGAAGATAACATGTAACATAACATAATTTAAACTCGAATTTTAGGGTAGCTAACAAGCTAATATTTTCTCCGAATACCAAAATCATATGAAAATAAATAAATAAATTTAAATAAATTTTAAGTTTAAGTATGTAATAAACGTCAATACCTTGTTGGTTTCTTAAATAAATAATAATAGTCTTTTTCTAAATTTGAAAATAAACGTCAATACCTTGTTGGTTTCATTTTTCTCTTTGAAAATGCTTCTCCGTTTACAACTGTTAAAACAAAATAAGGAATATTTTGATGAATCAGTATTGTCTGACAATGACACTTGAATTAAAGAAAGAAAACAAAAAATAAGAAGTAAATGTTTTGTCTATGGTCAAAGTGCCCTTAGTTGCTTTACCCACTTAGTCAAATTATTCGAAATAAACAATCTAAATAGAACGTAACCAACTGGCAGGAACGAAGCAACCACTTGGTACAAGCATGGCCGAGACCACCGCGGTCAAACGTCTAAATCGTTATTTTTGTTTTTTATTGCTGGAATTTCATTTACCAGTTAGATAAAAATGGGGAAAGATTTATAAATCAGTTAGTCAACGTAACTTTTTTCGCTGAAAACGCTTCGCGCTAAAAGAGAATCATGTTTGAAAATGGCGCCGATAATAACGTCAGCATCAGTTTTCAATCACTTAGAACCTTTTTAGTAAACTTTTAAAAAGTTTAGTAAACTAACAGGATGTTGGTAATACCCTAAACTTTCGATGGTGAAAGTAGCAACCTTAACTTTGGAGTATTTCGCTTAACTTTTGCAAATTTCACTCATTTGACAGCTGTGAAAATGGCCGAGGATCCGGATTTGAACCGAGGACAATCGAGAAGCAAATCTACCCAGTGGACAGAGTGCGACTCGAGCCCTGGATAATAGTGAGGGTAAAAAAGATCGCAGCAATTCGGTGGAGAGTATCCTGACTGCTAATCATTGTAAGAAGAAACAGTAAACAAACTTTCTAATTGGTACCTTAGCTTACCTTATCCAAGATGTAGCAGAGAAACCAAGATAATGGGGAAGAATTCCTTGACTTGAGGCCACTGTATCTCCTCTGGTGAGCTTACTTCTCGCAGTGAAGTGATTTGAGTAGTCCTCTTCCTTAAATATCATTTCTTGGCTGACTTCCTTACTTTGGGGAGGGCAGAGTCGCTCGGTGCATAACAATAGTAAAAACCAATATTACAAAAAGTATTTTGTAGTGGTTAAGCTCGTATGCGTATTTACGTGAAGTTGCAACCTATTTTCAGGTACTCACGCAAACGGTATAGGACTGCTAGTTGCAATATTCTGTTTATTTGTTTGTTTTGTGACGAAGGAAGGATAAGCAATTGATATGGGACGTAATCATTGCTGAAACTCGACTGAAATGGCGATAAAGTGGGCAGTCAGGAACCCTATTTAACAGCAAAAAGTTGCAACCAAACTGCAAGAAGTTATTTGCTGAAATGATTGAGCTTGTTTGCTGCGAAAAACTTCAATTTTGTTGTCGAATTCGTCTCGTTCTGTGCAGAAGACTCCCGGTTTGTGATATTAGTAAGAGGATATATTTATCCGAAATGAATATGGAATGCAATACTAAACTCGGATACATTACTCCATATAATTATTGGAAGCGGCCTTTAAGAACTAATGGTAATAATATGCTAACGAGTTTGAGGTTTAAAGATAAACTGATTTGATTTTAATTCCCTCATACCTTTTGCCCAACTACCTTTGACACTGAGGGGGTATAAATGTTCATAGCTATAGAATGGAAATGGGAGGAGTGATTAACATGTCGAATTTTGTGTCCTTGTGATGTATAAAGCTATCACAAAATGTATACCAACAAACAAACAGTCCTGCCTTATCAACCTGAGAGCAGTACTGATAGCCTTGAGTTCACCGCTCACTTAAATATATTAGGCGTTAATTTTGTATCCATTCACTCCAGGTGACCGCGCTGTCCTTGTTTTATTTTACAATCATACTGCTGGTTTGTGGGTGATGATGATAAGAAAAATCGAAAACGGTCTTCGACAAATCATTGACAAGCGAACAAACTAGCAAATTAGTGTTATAACGTGATGCGCAATGCCCCGCCACGGATTATAGAATATACTGTACTAGATAAAAAAAACAACATTTAATTTTAGCTCTGCCATGCTGTTTCACAATGTATTGAGTACTACCAAAGATAACATTACTGAGCCAACCGTGACCAATTGAAGGCGGCAATTAGGGTGTAAGGAAGTATTAGAATAAAAGATTTTTAAAATCTCTTTAAAGCTTAAATGTAGCTAAATGATACGGCTAAGACCGGTTGCTGAGGACTTAGAAATCCTAACTTGTAACTTTCCTTTTTTCTCGCGCTCACCAATTTCGTCAAATCAAAAAAAAGAAAAAACGTCTGTAGACAGGCTAATCATGCGCTGCTCAAATAAGGATGTTTCGGTGAGTAAAGTAACTTTGATCCGTACATTTACATCTACCATCTAGGTCTGTCAATCAATACTGAGCATTTTAGACCGCTCTTAAAAAAACAACAACCAAAAAAAAAACAGAAGGAAAACAAAAGTAACTGAAATGGCGCTTATTCATTTTAGCGCAAAGTAATAAAAGTGTTAATAAATGTTTGAAATTACATTTTTAAAAGCAGCCAGTGAATTGGACAATGCTATATCCTTTGGGAGTTTATTTCATTCTGTAATTGTCCTGGGGTAGAAGGAATACTTGTAGTGTAATCCCTAATGGCTGTCGGCTGTTTGTAAGAGTACTCTATGGAGCGAGTTGAGTACGAATGGCCAGCAGATTTAGTTTGTCATCTTCGTGAGAGACTAGCCTGTATCGCATTTTATACAGCACAGATAGGCGTGCTATGGTTCGCCTACTTGCTAGTGTCTTCTATTTCAGGGTTGAAAGCATTTTGGTTACACTATCTTTGCGGTCGAAGCGATTTAAAACCCAGAGTGCAGCTCTCAGTTTGGACCATCTCAACCGTATTTGTGTTTTTAGCTGTATGTGGATCCCACACAGATGAACGGTATTCCAGAGTTGGGCGTACTAGGGCCTTGTATGCTGTTTCCCCAGTCCTGGGTGGGCAATATATTAATTTCCGCTTTAAAATGCCAAGAGTTTTGTTAGTTTTGTTGGAGAGTGGTTTGTGGTTTGTGGTTTGTTCCTGGTGGGGCGCTTATATAAACCATTTATTGACGAAGTGCATTGAAAGAGTGTCTTTGAAGTTGAAATTTCTGAATAAATAAAATTAAAAATGAAACTGTGATTCTGTGATTGTGGCGATAGCTGGACACGTAGAAGACTGGTAATCATCCTCCACGTCACATTTCAGTGATGACAATAATTACAGGCGATGCGGAAAGCACATTTAATCCAAAGAACGGTTATCAGGTTTAAGAAATTTTAATTATTACAACTTTTCTCCCAGATAGTTAATAACAAATAAATTCAACACAACGCACAGTTTTACTCATAACTGCCTAATTTATGATTAATAACAAGGAAACACAGTAACAGACAACCCCAGTAGGAATGAACCGTATCTTCTGCCGTGATGCCGTTTCGAGAAAGATCTGATATCTGCTTCCAATATTTGTTTTAAATCCCTTTGATTAATGAGTTTATTTGTCACGCCTGCGAAACTTTTACTGATCATTGATGACGTCATTACATTTTTAAATATGTCGGCTTACTGATATTTTTTGCCGGTTCCATTTTGCTGCCGGAAAATCGTAATTCACCAGGGTTTTTTTTTTTGCATGTGCTGTAAACCGTGGTAAACTGTCAGTGAGCATCCAGCAATATTTGCGGCTTATGTCTCATAATTAGTGATTGAATAATAGTCGACGGACTAAGAAGAATGAGAAACTGCTCGTAGTCTCTCCGCGGCCAGTCACATATAAAATTTTCCTTTAGCTGTTATGGACCTCAAGAGCCAGTAGGACACTCGGCGGAAAAATATTGAAAATTTGGATCGTGACGCAGGAGTTTGCAATAGTCACCCTCATTTTCCTGCGCCAGTTTCCCGTAAACGATAAATGCCTTGAAAAGACGCAAACTGTCAGAACTTGGCAAAGTCAAAAAGATTTTTTTTTTTCACCGAGATTAAATTGCACCTAAAAGTTTAACAAATTTTTATAATTTTACCCTTTCAAACGCAAATCAGAACTAAAAGGCCCAAACTCCTGCAATAACTCAGCTAAGACAACATTAGTAAAAAAAAATTCAACTGTAGCTTTTAGAACTTTGACTGAAACACTTCATTATAAAAAAAGGGAAGTGGTGATCTGGATATACCGACAATAAAGGTTCAGGTATGACGATAAGTTTATAGCCTGCGTGGTAGGCGTTTGAAAGGAAAGGGAAAGGGAGTTTTAGGTGCGAGAGAAACGCCCGTGGTACTATGACTAAAGGAAATATCAATAAATAACTTTCAATGGGAAAATTGCCGATAGCAGGTCCCACGCCACGATAGTGCGACTCTTTCCGGTGGCCTCTGAACTTGGATACCAGCGTGGTTGTTTTAGCTGCAGCGGTGCAACCCACACACTATTAATTCACCGACAACGAACAAGCGAACCGAAGCATTTTCCTTAATAGTTTTCTGAAATAAATGGTCAGGAGAAATATATTATATTGAGTACTAAGCTGAAGAGCTAAACTACCGTTAGAAGAAAACATATAAACAGAACTCGGACTCAAAAGTTAGTAATTAGGTAAGAAGTAACGTAACTTTGGACAATTTAAAACAATTAATTTTCAAAATAAGGCCGGTCAGGTTGTGGTTTTCTCAAGTCTGGTAACGATAATACCTTCAGCTGATGGGGTACAGTTCTTGCCGTTAAATACCAAACGGGAACTTATTAGACACCTTAAGGTGGCTTGACCCAGTATTCTTATAGGCACACACTTCATCTTTGAATCTCTTATACTTAAAAAAAATCGATCTATATTGTAAAACGATTTTACCTAGACTAAACTTTATTATGATACTATTTTTTGGGCGATCAGAATAAATGTCACGTGGCAATGACGTCACAACGGTTTTAGCTCTAAATCGAATTTCAGCCCTGTTCGGCATTTTCTTCTGAAATGCTAAATACGCTACATATTCTTTGGGTAAATGTCTTCTGCTGTGTAAAGTTTCACAAACATCAGTAGAAGAGGAATTTCGAGATATCTTGGAATTTCTGTTAAAAGGGTATAAATTATGCATGCACTGAAGACTGGGCTTAATGCAGACAAATTTGTTACTTTTTGGATGTTTCCGAAAAGGTTTTATCACTCGTTCATTTTTGAAATGACCCTTATACACTCTAGAAGCCGTTTGCAGTAAAAATGACCAAACCTCGGTCTTAAGGTCTCTATTGATTTCATGTAACTCTGCTCAGTTATGTACTCTGTCGAGTATTAAGTCTCCTACGCAGCCATTATTTGTCTCGAACAATTAATGATTTATTATTCTTTGAAATCGAGGTGAATAGTGGCTAAATATTTACCGAGCCATGAAGCGGAGAGGTAAATATTCCTAAAGCCACTACTTACCGTGTCGTTCGTCGCATTAAGTGCTGACCGTAATGGCAGCTCGGTTGCTCGAGGTAAGACGTCGTTTTCCTGTAGCATTCTTTTTCGTGTTTACTTGAAACGTAGAATTTGTTTGTCATAAATATACTTCGATTTCTGGGCCAAATTTTTTTGTTAGGAAACGATCAGTTCACGAAACGGTCTCTTCTACGCGAATAAACGGGAGTTGTAAACAAACCATCGAGCACAAAACTCAGCTACAGCAAATGGAAAAACGCCATTTTGAATCCTTCGAAGTCTTTCGTTGCTTTAAAAAAGTCGACCCTTGTATTTTGTCGACTGTTACAGTCAAACCAGGTCAAGCGTTCCCGTCGCTAACGAACTAATGAATTCATTCACGGAAAAATGATTTCGTTTGTTGATTCAATAATCCATTCATAAAATGAACAATCCAATAGTCATATTTAGCCTCGATTCCATAATCGAATGTTGATTCGATTACTGTTTTTTGAAAAATTACACTTTCCACAAGTTGACCTCAGAATTTTGTTTTTTCCTCTTTTTTTTCTGAGAGTCGAGTGCTGGCGAGTTCTGAAGTTCAAACCCAAACAAACTGTTACATGTACGCCAGTTTGCTGCCAATAGTCAGTGCAACAGACCTAGGCCTGACCTCTTAGAAAACACGACGGTCAAACTGAGGTCAGTGTATGTGCGGTGATTGGTGGATTTCGATCCTCGGCCTTTGTCAGTTTCTTTGCGTTTGCGGTCTGTCTATTCTAGCTGTTAATTTGATTAAAGGCAATGGAAAACGCAATCGTAAACGGCAGGAAAAGGGAAGCAAATACGATTGAACACAACAGACAAGAATAAAGAACAGGTAGAGTTTGTTCATAAACCAAATCAACATTTGATTATTGAATCGAGGTACAATTTGACCGTTAGATTATTCATTTTATGAATGGATTATTGAATCAACAAACGAAATCATTTTTCCATTAATGAATTCATTAGTTTGTTAGCGACGGGAACGCTTGACCTGGTTTGACTGTAAAAGATCATTCCAAAAAAACTGGGAAACTGAACACCGAGATCACACTTTATCCACTCGCTATCATACTGATTCGTTTAATCTATTTGTACCACTTATACAATCCAAACAAGTAACTATATAGGTATCATCGTGCGGCGGACAAGCTGTTCGATAAGCAGTGAGTTATTAAAGTTTTGCGTGTGTTCTTCCCGAAAGCTTCATTATACCTTTTTTCACCGAAAAATTTAATATTAACGGTTATTTATACTGAAGGAGGTTAAGCCCTCTCCCGATGGCAAAATGATAAGAATTCTTATATTTGATAACTTGTTCCCGCCCCTGGATCCGCCCCTGAAGACATTCTCGCTAAAACTCGTCGTAGAATGACGACGGCTATCATGTTTTCCCGCCAAAATAACGCTGGCTCACGCGTGAGCAATACTCAGAAACTAAAGCTCTCTATTAATGTTTCTCACTTCACGCCTGTCAGTAATTTTACTAATTGCTTAAGATAACTACTAATTATTGGCGGTTCTTTAAAAATAGCCGGGTTTTTCCAATTCCTTTTTACAACCAGTGACCACAAAACGCCAGTCTATTTTTCTTGATATCAGCTATTAATAGCTGAATGACGTCAAATACTGATGATTAATTATTTAGCTTATTACAAACGCTAGGTCTTGTTCATGTCTTGATGGAAGTTTTGTACGTAAAAACCTAAAATGGAATCACAACAGAAAGGCAGATAGACGGGAGTCAATTAGACAATGGTCCCAATAAAATACAAAAGAAAAACAATAATAAAATAAATAAAAAACAAAAACAAACCAAACTACAACGAATGGTCCTTGCTGTGTTGTTCTCAGTTTCAGTATTGATATTGCTTAGACCACAACCAA